GGTGCTGGGCCGGGGCCGCGCTGGGCCGCGGGCTGGGGCCGGGCCGGGGGCCGGCGGTGCTGGGCCGGGGCCGGCACCCCAGGGCCCGAGCCGAGCCAGGCTGGAGACGCCGGGGCCGGCCGCTGGAGGGGACCAGACTGGGCAGCGCCTCCTCCCCCCACCCCCCCAGCTTACCTGCTTCCTGCTTCAGGCTTCCCGCGAATCAAATGTTCGCGGGAAGCAGGGGAGGGGGCGGAGTTGGGGCGGGGACTTTGGGGAAGGGGTGGAGTTGGGGCGGGGCAGTGGGCGGGGCTGGGGCGGGGCCCCGTGGAGTGTCCTCTTTTTGGACACTCAAAATATGGTAACCCTAGGCCTGTGTGACTGCATAATCTTATTACTGTTACCCTTATCCTCTTCCCACCTGGTGTTTGTTATGGTCCCTTAATGCTTCTTGTCCTAAATGAAGTGTCCTCTTTTGCTATGAATCTAGCATAATTGAGGCCCCCAATCCCAATTCGGGCCTCTGGACACTAATGTTAGCTAAATAATCATCATCCATAACACTGTGACTGAGCCAAGCTCTCGATCAGCAGAAGAAGAGCATCTGTTAATAATGTTCTGTCCTTCCTTCTTAAGGCCCTGATCCTGCAAACACTTAAGTGCATGTGTAACTTTACGTACATGAGTAGTCCCACTGAAGTCGATGGAACAGCTCATGTGCATGCAGTGAAGCAAGGACATGTTTGCAGAACTGGGGCTTAAGTTATCTATCCTTATATCTTGTATCTATTCTTATATTCCCAAACAAAAAACATGGTGAATAAGAGATAAGAGTGCAAAGGTATTTTTACCCCCCTGTAACAAGCCACAGAAAGAAAACTTGTGGAAAAGAAACCACATGCATTTTCCGAAACAGAAAGCTTAGACTTTAGCAGTTCAATACTCTTCACGTGGGGCATAATGCAAAGCTATGTGAAGTCAGAGGGAGTCTTTCCATTGGCTTTAGTGAGGTTTGGATGAGGCCCTTTTATGCCCCAACCAGCTTCCACCCTCATTCAACATCAGTTTTGCCCATGACAACATAAACAAGCGGAAAAGCATTACTACACACCAACACCTACAAGCCACCTTTTTTCACCCCCATGTCCGGTCCTGCACTGAGTGCAGTTTGGCCAGGTCAGAGACTGTGTTCCTGTGTGCTGTCTTTTTGTGAGAGTGTCTTCTGGGGGTGTTCCATAGAAGTGATGGCAACAGCCTTCCAGCCTTCACTTCCCTCTCACAAAGTGTTTCGTTTGGGAACTTGCAGGTTTGTGGTGAGTCTGTAACAGAGAACATGCTGCATTTCCACTTCCATTGACACTGTCAGGAACTCAAGGTGGTCAGCCTTCCACTCCAGTTTGCCCTTGCAGCATGAGAGGCTTGCAGCTGCAGAGCTCTCATTGTGCGCACTTCTCTGGGGTCTGCAGGGTAGGAACCCTCCTCCTGGACACTTCCTAAAGTGCACAGGACAGGCAGACTGGAGAGCAGGAGAGCCTGCGCAGGAGAGCAGCTCCCACCCTGCAGACCAGGAAGTCCATGACAGTGGAGCTGCCTTGCTATATACCTTAAAGTCTGCATGGCAGGAGCTCCCCTTCTGCACATCTCTTCAGGAGTGACCTCAGGACTTTAGGGTAGAGCTTGTCTCCTAAGGAATGAAGGAAAAGTGGGAGAGTAGTTCCCTGGGAGAGAAACACATGCAAATTTGGAGAGCTCTCTGACACAGAGGAGGAACCTGGAATACGGTATTTATTCAAGCCCTGACGTTTACCCTGCTTTCAGTTTGTGGGCCAAGCCCTGCTCTCAGTTACACCACAAATCTGGAGTGACTCCACAGAGGTTAGTTACGCTGGAATTACAATGGGGTAACAGAAGGTTGCGTTTGCTCCTATTTCTTCCTCTTCCTCGAAAGAGGAATGACTTTTCCCTAAAAGCACAAACCCTGAGAATCATCCTGCATTTGGGCTGCGGCGAGGAGCTTTAGTAGTAATCTCCTGGTGATTTGAATCTCAGGCGGCCAATTAGTAAGAGCTGAAATATAAAAATATCACACCCCCTACACTTTGGGACAAATCCATCTGTGCATAACTCCACTAAGGTTACACCAGGGATGAATTTAGCCCTTTGTATCCACTTGAATCTAGATGTAAGAAACCAGTACACAGCAGCCCTAAGCCCTGGAGTCCTGCTATTGGGAGCAGGTAGGGAAGGAGAGACCTGTGGGTCTCATGGGAGACCTATGTCTGTAGGGAGGGATGATGGTTCTTTCATCTAGATCTGAGGTTCATGAAACAACCTCTTAGTCCTCTTTTGCTCTCTCCACAGTGCTCTGTCTTGCTGATCCTCCAGCCCAAAGTCCCGTCCGATGGTGCACAATATCCGATCCAGAGCAGAAGAAATGTGTGGAACTGAAGACGAAAATGTCCTCAACCCCTTCATTAGACTGTGTGAAGAAAACAACTTACTCTGACTGCATAAAAGCCATTGCAGTAGGTTGCTAGCAATGTATCAGGTCTGGGGCTGGGAGGAACAACTTGCCCTGTCGGGTTCCATTTGCCTAATCTGGGATGAAAGCTTCACTATCCTCTTTAAGTGACTGATTTCCTTCCCTCATTGCCTCGCTCCATTGCTACAGCAGCACCCCAGCCAGGAAGGACCCCAAAGAGAGGCTCTGTTAATTAATGCTCAGTGTTTTCTGCCCCTGCTGATGCATGTGCCCACAATTGATTTAACCCTTTTGTGTTTCAGGAGAATGAAGCAGATGCCATTAGTCTGGATGGTGGCCACATTTTCGAAGCACACCTTGCCCCGTATAATCTGAAGCCTGTTGTGGCTGAGGTCCATGGCACAGGAAAAGGTACATTTGCATGGAGGGCACCGTTATTGACTATAAAGTTGTGGCACTTTGACCACCATGGTGCTAGCTGTCAGCACGTTAGTAACACCGTACTACTCAGGCAAACTGGGAAGGCACAAACCCCTGGGCAAGTCAGTGTGCTAACTCAGAGAATATGTACTACTTCAGAGCTGGCCACAGACCAAGGGCCAGGGCCTTAGCTGGTACGCATGAGGACTGATCCGCAGCCAGTGACCTCAACACAGCTGTGCCCATTTACACAAGCTGAGAATCGGGACCTGGTGGAAAGCAGCAATGATTTGTACTCCTGCTCCCTGCCTCATTTTCCTAGCTGTCCAGGTGATCACACTCTCCTTTGGAGCCATCAGCGTTAGTTCTATCACTCCACTCACCCTGATCTCCTCCCCTTCCCCACAACCAGACTGGACTTTTCCTAATCCTCTTGATTTCTGATTGGTTTGAGGGTTTTTTTTCCCACTTCCATGAACCTTCTGGTTCTTGCTTCATTCCTTCCCAGTGACCCATGGGTGCTAGAGTAATTTTACCTGCAGATTAGGGAGCAATGCTAGAGCAACTAGTTACATGTTATTACAGGTGACATTATCATTTTCACATATCCCCCGCAACACCAGCAAGCGAGGTGACTATCGCTCCTGAGCCGGCATGGCAGGTCCCCTCACCAGCCATGCTCACATGCCCTCTTCGTAGTACCTGAAAGCTCCAAGCAGCAGCAACCTATGATGTGCTTGGCTGTGTGCAGGAAGCGTGCTGTGAACAGTAGCTTTTCCCTGATGTCTCTCTCCATGGCTGTTCACGCAGAGCTTAGCTCGTGCGCTACTACCTTTGAGGGGATAGAGGAGGCTACAGGAGGTGGTGGTGGGATATCTATCCCAGAGCAACCTTTCCTCTCCACGCAGCCCCTCTATATCATTTCCATTGGGCAGCTGAAATTTGGCCCCCCTGTGGATCACAGAGGAGGAGCAGACCAGTCTATAGAAACTGTTATTACTCCCACTGCCCTTCCACTGCATGTGGCGGTATCACAAGGGCAGTAACTCTTTCTCAACAGAACTGGAGTAAATCCAGTGTGCTGCTATTGCTGTTCCCTCTGGGGAAGTTTACTGCTCACTGCAGTGGTGTTGCAATGGCTGGGGAAGGCTAATGCAATAGCGTGTCTGAAGAATTTTGTAAGGTTAATTTGCCTATGTAACTAATGGCCCCTGATAAAACACTGCAGGGGGACTAAGCTGAGCAAACCTCAAAGGCTTTCTGCTTTCAGGGACCTTGTATAAAACTGGAAATTAACTGGGCTAATCCAGGCACGTGGGACCCAAGCTATGAGTCAGCTGCACTAACAGAGGTTAAAGAATGACATTAACACAAAGTTTGTAATGTTGGGGTAGCCATGGTGGTCCAAGGATATTAGACATCCAAGGTGGGTGAGGGAATATCTTTTATTGGACTCATTTCTGTTGGTGAGAGAAACAAGCTTTCGAGCTACGCAGAGCTATTCTTCAGGTGTGTGTAGCTCGAAAGCTTGTCCCTTCCCCCAACAGAAGTTGGTCCAATAAAAGATATTACCTCACCCGCCTTGTCTCTCTAGCAACATGAGGGTCAGTTGTTTCTTGGAGGACCAGGCTGAATTGAGCACACAGACAGGGCAGTGGATAAACAGGCACAATGAAGAGGGAAAGAAACAGAAAAGAAAGCTAAACGTTAAAGCTGCTGCTATCAGAGTTGCTGGGTCTGCACCCCCAGTCTGTAGTTCTCTTCCTGTCTACTGCATTACTGACGATTCTTGGAGGAAAATGACAGTACTTCTCCATTCCTGTCTTCATCGGCTCCTGCTTTCCAGATCCCACCCAAACTCCCAGCCTTCTCTTTGTATTATAATACAGATCTCTGTTCGGAAACTCAGGCTGTTTTGATACTGTGTAGAGAGTTTGGGCTGAAGGCAACATTACGGAGTAATTCTCAGTGTTATGGCTGAGAATTAAAAGGTACAAAAGTCAGGAAATTCAAAGTAGTGGGTTTCTGCTGCCCCCAGAACTCAGTCCCTTTGCATAGATGTAATATTTGCCATACAGTCTATGGAGAGAATTTTAACAGACCCCGTTTAGAGTCCATTCCTGCAAACCTTACTCACACAAGTCATCTTTACTCATGTGAGAAGCTCTACTGCCCTCAAAGAGACTTATCACGAAGGTAAGAGCTATTAACAGCAGCACACGTATCAAATAAATGCAAAGACAAGAGCATTTAGCAAATACTAGTAATACTAATTAGTAGAACAATTAACATTATGTCCATTACAACCATTATAGTCAGATTGATATTGGCATGGCAACCCACTAATACTAAACAGGAGAAAGGGGTTGGGTGTCTTGCTACATTATTATGCGGTTGAAAATGTTGCACTTTGCTTCCTGTGCCCAGGATTTGTGTGACATGGGAGAAAACAATTGTGTGAATTGGAAGGGACGGTAAGCGACATCCATTTCTGTTTGTGTGTTCCTTTGTTCCAATGCTTGCTTGCTTTTTCTCCTCCCTCCCGTACAGATGCGGCCACCAGCTACTATGCTGTGGCCGTGGTGAAGAAAGGAACCGGCTTCACAATAGGGGAACTTAAAGGGAAGAAATCCTGCCACACAGGGTTGGACAGGTCTGCTGGCTGGGTCATTCCCATTGGGACCCTCTTGTACCATCAAACCCTATCCTGGGATAGAGCCACTCCCATAACCCACGGTAAGCTGTGAAAGAGCTAGGTGAGTAGGGAGTGCTAACATTAAGCTGGGGGTGAGGAAAACTGGGATTGATTGGTGTTAGGGGGAAGGTAGTAGGTTTTCTGAGGAACTTTTGGGGAAACCAGCAAACCAAAGGAACCACTCACATTTCCTAAATTTCTCTTCTTCCCTCAATAAGGGCATTTCCATGACAGCAACAGCTTCCTTGCTTTGGAATCCATTATCTTCTACTCAGTCACACTCCAAAAACTCTGTTGTTCAATGGTTAAAGTTGTTACCAATGTGATACGCCATCCTGACACAAACCCAAGGAAGTGGAAAGTTAAGGCACCTCTACTTCTCCACATACAAACACCCTGCACCACAGCCATGCACAGCAGACCACACGACAGAACCTTCACTCTGCCCTGCTGGAGATGCCATCCTTCCAGCATCCCCTTTACCAAACCACCCCTTCCAAAGGCATCAGGTTTCAGACAATCTTCCCTTCTGCACATCCCCTCTCCCCCCACTACTTCCTCCAAACACCCCACACTACTATACCAAGCATCCACAGCTGGGAGAAGGTAGTTTGGTAAAGGGTGAGTTTGCTATTAACTACTGCATGTCTTTTTCCATAGCTGTGGCCCAGTTTTTCTCAGCCAGCTGCGTCCCTGGTGCCCCCGCAAATGAACCAAATCTGTGCCGCTTATGCCTTGGGACAGGTGCTCAGAAATGTTCCCGTACTGGGCCTTATTCTGGCTATTCTGGAGCCTTTCAGTGAGTGAAAGTTATTTTTATCTGGTAACTATCTGTCCCACACACATGTTTTCAGCTGTACCATAACTGGGTCTCCTGACATGGCTACACTTGTAGAGTAGTTGGGACCTAATTGTCTCATTGGTTTCTGTTGAGTAATGGGCCTCAAAGAAATTAAAAAGGGCTCCAGAGGTGATCCCAGCAATTACAGGCCTGTAAGCCTGACTTCAGTACTGGGCAAACTGGTTGAAACTATAATAAAGAACAATATTGTCAGCTATATAGATGAACATAATTTGTTGAGGAAGAGTCAACATGGTTTTAGTAAAGGGAAATCATGCCTCACCAATCTACTAGAATTCTTTGAGGGGGTCAAGAAGCATGTGGACCAAGGGGATCCAGTGGATATTGTGTACTTAGATTTTCAGAAGGCCTTTGCAAGGTCCCTCACCAAAGGCTCTTACACAAGTAAACTGCCATGGGATAAGAGGGAAGGTGCTCTCATGGACTGGTAACTGGTTAAAAGATAGGAAACAAAGGGTAGGTATAAATGGTCAGTTTTCAGAATGGAGAGAGGTAAATAGTGGTGTCCCCCAGGGGTCTGTTCTGGAACCAGTCCTATTCAACATATTCATAAATGATCTGGAAAAAGAGGTAAACAGCGAGGTGGCAAAATTTGCAGATGGTACAAAATTACTAAAGATAGTTAAGACCCAGGCAGACTGCGAAGAGCTACAAAAGGATCTTTAAAAACTGGATGACTGATCAACAAAATGGCACATGAAATTTAATGTTGATAAATGCAAAGTAATGCACATTGGAAAGCATAATCCCAACTATACATATAAAATGATGGGGTCTAAATTAGCTGTTACCACTCAAGAAAGAGATCTTGGAGTCATTGTGGATAGTTCTCTGAAAACATCCACTCAAGGTGCAGAGGCAGTCAAAAAAGCAAATAGAATGCAGGGAATAATTAAGAAAGGGATAGATAATAGGACAGAAAATATCATATTGCCTCTATATAAATCCATGGTATGCCCACATCTTGAATACTGTGTGCAGATGTGGTCACTCCATCTCAAAAAAGATATATTGGAATTGGAAAAGATTCAGAAAAGGGCAACAAAAATGATTAGGGATATGGAACATAAGAATGGCCATACCGGGTCAGACCAAAGGTCTATCCAGCCCTGTATCCTGTCTACCGACAGTGGCCAATGCCAGGTGCCCCAGATGGAGTGAACCTAACAGGTAATGATCAAGTGATCTCTCTTCTGCCATCCGTCTCCACCCTCTGATAAACAGAGGCTAGGGACACCATTCCTTACCTATCCTGGCTAATAGCCATTAATGGACTTAACCTCCATGAATTTATCTAGTTCTCTTTTAAATCCTGTTATAGTCCTAGCCTTCACAACCTCCTCAGGCAAGGAGTTCCACAGGTTGACTGTGCGCTGTGTGAAGAAGAACTGCCTTTTATTTGTTTTAAACCTCCTGCCCATTAATTTCATTTGGTGGCCCCTAGTTCTTATATTATGGGTACAAGTAAATAACTTTTCCTTATTCACTTTCTCCACACCACTCATGATTTATATACCTCTATCATATCCCCCCTTAGTCTCCTCTTTTCCAAGCTGAAAAGTCCTAGCCTCTTTAATCTCTCCTCATATGGGACCTGTTCCAAACCCCTAATCATTTTAGTTGCCCTTTTCTGAACTTTTTCTAATGCCAGTATATCTTTTTTGAGATGAGGAGACCACATCTGAACGGCTTCCGTATGAGGAAGAGATTAATAAGACTGGGACTTTTCAGCTTGCAAAAGAGATGGCTAAGGGGAGATATGACTGAGGTCTATAAAATCATGACTGGTGTAGAGAAAGTAGATAAGGAAGTGTTGTTTACTACTTCTCATAACACAAGAACTCGGGGTCACCAAATGAAATTAATAGGCAGCAGATTTAAAACAAATAAAAGGAAGGATTTCTTCACACAACACACAGTCAACCTGTGGAACTCCTTGCCAGAGGATGTTGTGAAGGCCAAGACCACAACAGGGTTCAAAAAAGAACTAGATAAATTCATGGAGGATAGGTCCATCAATGGCTATTAGCCAGGATGGGCAGGAATGGTGTTCCTAGCCTCTGTTTGCCAGAAGCAGGGAATGAGCGACAGGGGATGGATCACTTAATGATTACCTGTTCTGTTCATTCCCTCTGGGGCACCTGGCACCGGCCACTGTCGGAAGACAGGATACTGGGCTAGATGGACCTTTGGTCTGACCCAGTAGGGCCATTCTTATGGAAGAAGCACCCCTACACCAGAGTTGAGTATGTGGCCTATGATAGCTCCTAGACCCTACAAGCACTTAGTGAGTGATCAGAAATTGATCTATCAATTGCACATGGCAGTACAGAGCATTATCATTGGGCTACTCCTGATGATTTTCATTATAAAATTCTTCTCTGCCATTGCATTTCCTTCCCCAGCCCACATAGCTTTCTGTGAAGATAAACTGTCATATATCTGAGGCTTGCTTCAGAGGTAGTTGTCTGAAACGTAGAGGGATGATCTGAGATTAGCAACAAACACAATATTTCAGTGTCCTCCTTTTCTTTCTGCTTTATTTCCCCCTCCAGGTGTCTGAAAGATGGAGCTGGAGATGTAGCTTTTGTCAAACACACAACTGTTCTAGGTAAGCATGAGGGATCATTCCGTTTCACCACTTTCTGATCAGGCCTTTCACTGGGAGTATATCCTTGAATTCTATCTATATTGCACCTGCCTTCATTTCTCTCCCGGTTTATCCCACACCTCTTTTCTCTTTGTCTCTGGGAGGAAATACGCTTTGTATGCTGTATTCCTGACTGTTAAATAATCAACAGAGAGAGATTAGATTTCATCTCTTAGTCTAATGGCTCTTTCTTGTGGCTGAACAAGGCTACCAGAGTGGGGACCAGTTTGTATGTTGCTTCTTTGATGTTCACAGCAAAATCACACCGGCACATTATTCTTTGAAAGATTAAATTTGGGAAGGGGCTCCACCTCCACCAACATCATGACAGGAATCTACTAACACGACATCAGCGTGAGAGAAAGGATGGTCTTGTGGTAAAGCACTGGGCTAGGACTCAGGAGACCTGGATTCTGTTTCCAGCTTTACCACTGACTACTTAGGCAAGTCATTTCGTGCCACATTCACAAAGGGTCTTGGGCGCCCTTCCCCTTCCCCCACTGTTTTGCATGGAATTGCAAGAATGGGTTCGATGCCTAAGGCCCCTGACTTCAGAAGCAAGGGGCCTGGCGGTGGATCGCAAGCAGAGACCTGCCCCGAATTTCAGGAGAGGGGCAGAGTTTAGGACACACCCCTCTTGTCAGTATCTGCCATTGGCTAGCTTAGGACACATGTGTCTTGTCGGCTTCTCCAATTGGCTAGCTTAGCTGGCTCCCTGCTCAGCATGCTGGCTTTGTGAATCCCATTCTTAGGTCCCTGTGTCTCCCCATGCACTGTACAGGGAGCCTAGGCACAGCTCTCAGGCTTTGTGGATTTCTAGATGTCTAAGTCCCTTTGTGGATCTGGGCCTTCATCTCTCTTGGCCTCAGATCTCCAGCTGTGAAACTGGGATGATAATAATACTTCAGGGACAGAGGAATCTGTCTCATGGAAGTTGTCACTCTTCTGGTTCTCATTCAGGGACAAAAATCATTGGGGAGTTTCCTGAAGTGGGGTATTCAAAGCCCCTTTAAATATTGGTGTTGCTGTAACCTGTGGACTTCCATTCCTCCCAGAAAATGACGCAAGTGGGAAAGACAAGTATGAGCTGTTGTGTGAAGATGGTTCCCGGAAGCCTGTAGATAAGTATCATGAGTGTCACTGGGCCAAAGTTGCTGCTCATGCTGTTGTGGCTCGAAGCGTTGATGGCCGGGCTGATGAGATCTGGAGCTTCCTCTCTCAGGCGGAGGTATTTGCTTTTTCCCCTTCTCTACCTTTCTCTCTGTTCCAGCCTCTCTTTTGCTATTATTCCCCTTTTGTTTGTTCTCTCCACTTTTTCAAAACTATCTCCTGCTCTTGGTATACACCTGATCATTTCTCCCCTGTGACAGGCAAAGTATGGCAAGAACTCAAAAGAGAGCTTCAAACTCTTCAGCTCTTCTTATGGGAAAGATCTGCTTTTTAAGGATTCTGCTACCAATTTTATCCGTGTCCCTCGACTGATGGATGCCCAATTCTACCTGGGCTACCAGTACTGGGCTGCTATTCAGAGTCTCAGGCCAGGTAAGCAGGGATTGGGCTCCTGGGCAGGTGGTCATGAAATTTTAAGGTGGGGGAGGATCCATTAGGAGTCCATGGCTCAGATCCTGCTCTTAAAGCATCCATCGACTTCATTCACTTTGAAGTTAACAGAGCTACTGAGGTGTATCTGGGTGTAGATGAGCGCTGGATCGAGCTTCATGGGTTGTGCTTTGCAGTGCGTGTTCAATAAACAATTGGCACTGCCATAACTGGAGATGTTTGAATGCAAATTCTCTTGGCCCAGGGATCGGACTCCCATGTGCCATTGAGCTGCATTGTCAGTAACGAGCAGTAGTTTGGTGTCTCTCTGCTCTCGCAGCATTCTGGGTTCAGCACCAAATGCCCCGCTCGGTATATGCCACACAGCCCCAGAAGCACCCAGAGAAGGAATCAGGCAGCAGGGAGACACGTTTCTTTCTTTGTTCTTTCCCTCTTGTTCCAGGGGCTATTCACTACCTATTGGCCCTGACCGAGCAGGCACCTCCCAACCCTCTTCCCCTGGCAGCTCAGCTGTGCAGCTCGGTGGAGTGGGGGTGGAGGGGGAGCCTTGGCGTTGCCTATTTCTTATCCTTCTCCTGCCAGCGGCCCAGCAAGGGGTCCAGGAGCACAGCCCTTTGTCTCCCGAAGGGGCAAGATGCTGCTCAGAGACATGGGGGAGGGGTTACTCCCCCTCAGGCTCCTGTGCTGCTGTGTAGGCTGGGCCATAAATGCCGTGTAACACAAGGCACATTAAGCACAGGGATCCCTGACCCTCCAGTAATGGGGTAAGGGTGGTGGGGTCAATGTCCTAACTACCAGCCCAGCCATTGGTCCCTGGGGTATCCTGTATCTTGGGGACACCCGCTGCCCTTTGGCTTTGCTTTGCCTACATCATCTTTCCCACCACACTGGGTCTCCCTTCCACCCCTGTTAATGACGCTCCCTCACCAGTCAGTGGGGCTGCTGTAGAGTGACATGAGATCTCCCTGGGGCTGGCCACCCTGCCTCTGCACCGCCTCTGGGAGAACCATTCTGCATGGATTCAGGAGTGTCACCTCTGGGGCAGTTTGTGCAATGGGCGGGTGATGGTTCGCATGACCTGCTCCAGAACTAGGGACACACCAAGAATCAGTCACAGAAACATTTGGAGAGTCAAGAGTAAATCTGTTTGGGGGAATGAGGAAATTTTCTCACATTTATTTGCAGTCCAGAATTATTTGTCAGATGTTTGCTGTCAATCGTTCCTGCTCTGTTGCTCATTCAGGGACAGCTCATGGGCAATATCTCATAGTAAAATGTTGGGCCATTTTGATTGGATGTCTGGGTCACATGGGGCTAAATCCACTTAAGCAAAACCAAAAAATAAACCAAAAGAAATCATTTCAGGTTGAAACAAACCATTTCAATTCAAATTAAATGTAGTGTTGGAACATTTAGCTTTAAAAATGCCAAACAAAATGTTTAGACTTCTCTGACATTTATTTATGTTATTTTGGTGCGGGAGGTGAAACTATTAACCAAATTCGACCCATGTTCACAAATGCTTTCTGACCACCCAAAACTGCTTTTTTTTTTTTTTTTTTTTTAAAGCAAGTAAACTACTTAGCCAAGAAATTTTGCTCAGCTCAACTCCCAACCTGGCTGGTCTGGGGAGTGAATGGCTGGGGCTGTGCTGAGAAGAACACTGGTCTTTCACATATCAATGCACAGCACTACCAATGCTAAGTGACCCAGAGATTATGAAGCCTAGGACCAGATTCTGAGCTGGCACAAATCAATAGAACTAAGTGAAGCTAAGGCAAGTGGTGGAGTGTCCATCTCTTGTTGTCTTCAGACCAAGAGTGGCTGCCTCTCTGGAAGATGCTTTGGTCCAACACACATTATTGGTCTCAAGACGGGTAACTGGGTGAAATTCTCTGGCCAGGGTTATACAGGAGGTCAGACGAGATGACCTAATGCTCCCTTCTGGCCTTAAAATCTAAGCCTCTACGTTGATTTTGAAGCATCTCCCTGTCCAGTGAGAACCAGACCTAGCCAATTGACATCCCTTTCCTGCATATTCTGCACTCCACTAGTCCAGCATTTGTCAAACAAGACTATTTTGAATGGAGCTGCAGGGAGTGTGTGTACGCAATGACCTGCTGTCAGCAGCCCTGCTCGTCCTGCAATCAGTCCGTTGGTGGCTTTACATTTTAGATAAGCTTTTGGCTTATTCTCTCTGCCTCAGTTGCTTCCCTAGAAACTCCTGAAGCCCCTTTGAAGGTGAAGTGGTGCACAGTAAGTAAGGATGAAAAGGCCAAGTGTGATGAATGGAGTGCAGTGAGCGAAGGCAGCCTGGACTGTGCAGTGGCAGAAACCACAGAGGAATGCATTGCCAAGATAACGGTATGGGCGTTTCCTTTTCCCACTGCTCTCTCCATGCATCTACCAACTCGGGGAACAGTTTCCTCTCTCTGTCTTTGAGCAGTGCTGGTCAGGAACGTTTCAATGAAACAATTTTTCATTGGAAAAGGCCAATTCATTGAAACTGAAACTTTTTCCAGGAAAGGGTCAGTTCTGACGAATTTCTTAATTTGATTTTTTTTTGAAGTTTACAAATTGTCAAAACATTTCGATGTTTTCTAAATTTTGGTTTTCCGAGTCAAAGTCATTAAAATGTAAGCTACTTATACTACCCGTCTCTTTCATGACAGTAATTTTTTTTAAAGGCCTCATCTCTGGCAGGGGGAAGCTGCATGAGAAGTAGCTTCACTTTATATTTGTTGAGTTACTTTCATTGCAGAAAGGTGATGCGGATGCCATAAGCTTGGATGGAGGTTATGTCTACACGGCTGGTACATGTGGTTTGGTGCCAATCATGGGAGAATACTACGGGGGTGAGTGGGGTGCAATCTGCCTTTTAGCTTGTTCTTGATGGGGAATTAACTGATATCAGAATACTTGATTTTATTTTGAACTATGATAAGTCAGTGGTCCTGATTCTGGTCACAATTAGCTTGATCCAGAAAATGAGTGGAGGTGGGGCGGGGCAAAGGGGCTTTAAATCACTGCACCCCCTGGATGCTGAAGGCAGATTTGGACAGGAATGGTCCTGGGTATAAGCTAGAGCATTCCCTTAATGGCTGAAGCAGGGTACTCTAGCCACACCCTTCCTGCTTCTGACACGCCCCTCTGTCCCCTGGTAAACCCCAGTCTTGGGGGCTGTGTGGAGGGGATGGCATGGGGCTGCTCCATTGGCTCTATCCCTCAGGGAACATCCGCCCTGTATCAAGGTATTCCTAGGTGGCTAGTTCCAGATGACGTAGGGCCCCTCCCTGCCAGCAATCCAGATGTGGAGAGGCTGTCTGGGATCCACAATAAAGGCCAATGACAGCTGGTTTTGCCTGTCTTGAACAACCCTTATTCACAGAATTCCTCACAATCATTAAATCATTGTCTTCTAGCCTTCAGCTCCAGTCTCTGTCTACCGAGCTGTTGCCCCAGAAGGGGAGTAGGGCAATGCTTTGCTCTGCTAATGCGCTAGATGTTAGACCAGCTACTTCTGTCCCTTTCTGAATTAAGGCTTCTTCAGAAATTAACTTGCCAGCTGCCCCACAGAGAAACCACTGCTGTGAATGGGATCCTTACAGAGCCAGATATATACACAGTGCCAGGGAAACCTGTTTTTAGCATTAACTGCACACTTGCTTTTGAAGAGCTCTCTATCTGAAATCTCCTCCTCTTTCCCATTTCAGAAAACATTACACGATGCCAGAATGAAGGAGCACCCGGAGGTAATTATTGGTAACAAAGGGGCAGAAGATAAAATCCTGACCTAGAGTAAACTGAAAAAATAAATTGGTCAAGAAACAGAAAGCTAAGGGTTAGGAATAAATGGCCAGCGTTCACCACAAAGATGGCTACGGGGATCTTTGTGTACAGTGTATTTAGTAATGATCTGGTACACAGATCCAGTAGTAAAGGGGAGAGTTTGCTAGTGGCCGTCAGTTATTTAGATTAAGGAGCACAGGGAGGAACGACATAAGGACCTACCCAAACTAGTCAATTTGACAACATGATCTCAGATAAAATACAACAGAAAAGCAAGGTCAAGGTAGTACATACTGAAGGGAACAAGTTAATTACCCAAAGAATGTAAAGAAATGGGGTCAGGAAGAGATTTACCCCTTGATATAATATTGCCCAACTGGCCAGGTGGATTATGCAGGATTTTTGTTGTCTTCCTCTGAAAGCTCTTGTGCTAGCCTGGGTCAGAGACTGGAGCAGACTAGGTGATCTGTTCTAGGATGGCAATTCCTGTGTTCACATGAACATTTGTGGTAACCACTGTTCAGAGTGTATTACACATCCCCCCCCTACATTGGCTGATCCATAGGGAGCTTTGAGCCTGCATCTGGTTAGTCCGTTAGCTCGAGTTGTAGCGGTTCAGACTTTTAATGCTGAAGGTCTTGGGTTCAAACCCTGCTGCTGGCCCAATAAGGGGGAAATCTTTAGAGGAGCCTCATATACAGAAAGGAACCCAAGTTCTCTTATGATATCTAGAAAGTCTGATTTCACGTTATTCAACATAAACCCCTCTAGGGGAACTGAATATCTCCAGGAATTGCTAATGGGATATAGTGCTTGCTACTGCTAGGTCACTGATCAAATCACATCAGTACCACAGATGGTGTTATTGACTGCTGCCCGTTCACTGACCTACATGACATGGGTTTGCCAGGTTCAGACCAGTTCCTAGTGGCCTGGCAGGGAAGCATTCACTGTCAGGAGCACTGAATAAACATGATGTTGGCTTTTAAGGAAGACATCAACCTCTCCTCTGTCTTATTGTGGAACATGGGCCATTCGTCCTTAAGGGAGGGGGAGAGGAAAAACCTTTTCCCTAGGCTTTGAACCTGGAAAGGGTGGGGAGCCCCCACTCAAATACCGGTTTCTGGGGTCTCCTCACCACAGACACATCAGGGCCAATTCCTGCATCCTTTTCCCCATGGGAGCAGATGGCCTGAAAGGGATCAGAAATAGAAGGCTCTGTGGTGGGGAATTGGGGTGTTCAGCCCTCAGATAACTCAGGCATCAGTGTCTGTCTGTTCCAGTATATTGCTGAGTTGTGCTCAGCTGGATCTTCATTGTTAGCAGAATGGCGGATGTGTGGCCTGCTGGATCTGTGACTACATGGATCCACCAGCTGATCCCACTGCAAAGTGTGGAAGAGTGGCAGGGAGACAGTCTATGTGGAGCGCCAATATGCCAACACATTACACCACAGGGACAGAAGGCCTGAGATTCAGTACTAGAAAATAGGCTTTAGTAGAAGTATTCCCCCAAACAGAGAGGCAGGCTTGTCTTGTAGTCAAGGGGCAGGACTGGAAATCAGAAGGCATATGCTATATCCCTGGCCCTGACTCAGACTTCCTGTGTGCCTGGGAAAATCATTTAATGACCTAGTGCCTCAATTTCCCCACCTGTGGGGAGAAAAATAATGGGGATACTACCAGAGGGGTATTGTGTGGCTAAATTCATCACACCTGTAAAGCCCTCTGTATCCTGGGGTGGATAGGCTGTAGGAGGACACAGTATTCTTGTTGTTCCCATTTGTAGATCCTCTCTATGGAGGGAAAGGATGAAAAGAATTATGAAACCTTGGATGTCAATTCTGGTTCAGGTTTGACTCTCCTGCTTCACTTCCTTTTCCTTCTGCTCTGTGACAGAAACCTATTACGCTGTGGCTGTGGTGAAGAAATCCAACCCCAGTATCACCTGGAAGAACCTGCGTGATAAGAAGTCTTGTCATACAGCTGTTGGGAGAACTGCTGGCTGGAATGTCCCCATGGGCTTGATTCACAATGAAACTGGGAGCTGCAACTTTGGTGAGTCAACTTGTGTACCAACTTCTCACAGCGACTGTGTGTGTCCGTGTCCCCAGTACAGACATCAGGGGGCCAGTGCTAGAGAGCAAGAGCCTCATCCCACAGCTCTTGTCTGGCCTTTGAGTCTCTGGTGACTCCTGGATGCTGGTTGGGCGCTGGCATGTGGGAAATGCTGCTTTGTTAAAGGTTTCAAGGAGCCACATTTCCCTGAGATGGACTTGAGTATTTCTTACCCTGATGGAGCAGCAGTCGGACGTGGCATGTCAGTTTGTTTCTTTAGCAGATATTATTGAACATGAAACAAGCAATGGTCATTTGTAGGGATAACAAGCCTATCTAGAGTTCTAATAGCCAGGATGAAAAAGACCAGGGCTTGGGCAGAAATTGGGTTTCTTGCACTTTCTTCTAGAGCAGCTGGTATCAGCTATGATTGGAGACAGGCTGCTGGACCAGATAGAGCCCCGATCTGGACCAAAGTAGCAAAATCTGTCTTCCTGCTGTGAGGGTTGTTAGATCAAACCCTGACCCATATTGACAGTGGTCCCAGTTCACAATGTTTCCCTTATGCAGCCTCTGCCATTTCTTAGGCTGAAGATGTTACCTAGATTGTAAACTCTTTGGGGGCAGGGAGTGTCTTTTTGCTCACTGTCTGTACAGCACCTAGATCAGTGGGGTCCTGGGCCATGACTGCAACACCTGTCATTGGCTTTGAGTCTCATGCTGAAAAACTGGTGCACAGCAGAGATGTGTCTGTTTCTTACTGTGAGTTTCTCTGTCCGTAACTTCACTTTGTACACGTGCAGCATGGGAACTGATGGTTTCTAAGGAAATGCCTCCTCAGTCTTTTAAAGAGGTTTTAGTTTTCTTTTCAACTAATTTAAATTATTTCAAGGCCTAATAATGATGAATCATATGAAGATTCTCATTAAGGGATAGAGAAAAGCAAGAGCCAGAGAGGAAATATACAACAGGTGTTCTATATTCCTCCTGGCAGATAAGTTCTTCAGTAAAGGCTGTGCTCCTGGATCTCCAGTTACCTCACCACTCTGCGAGTTGTGTGTGGGCTCAGGCAGCAGCCTCCCACCAAATTACATATGTGCCGCCAACAGCAATGAGAGATACTATGGATACAGCGGAGCCTTCCGGTAAGTGACTCCAATATAATACTAGGTGTTCCTTGGGCAGTGATGGAGTGAGAGCCCTGCCCCTGCTGACAGAGCCCTGAGAATCCTACATCTTTCCCCTCACTCTAATTTCCTCTTCCCTTCGGGCCCCACTGTGCAGACACCATCTTTCTCCTCATAACTCCCTACAAAGCCCAGCAGTGCTACTCCTTCAGGAGGGGGAGGAGCAATAGCAGATGGGGACTGGAACTTTAGCCTTCCCACAGGACAGGGCCACTAGATCTTACCCTTTAACTGAAAGGGAGAACAGGAACGCATTTTTTAAATCTTCCCCCAAACTCTGTTGTATGATCCCAAAGGAGAATCTATGGGGCCAGTTCCTGCCCCTGGGGCCAGCTCCTTGGCACCCTCCAACAGCTCAGGACTATATAGCTTGTGCTGGTAGGAGCCTTGCCAGGCAATTAATTGTGTTTCACTCCCTACTGGTAAAGAAATGACCCAATGCAGCACTGCTTCACGGCTCACAGTAGTTTTGGTGTAAGCTCCACCTTTCACAGGCTAGCGCTATTGAAATGTACAGCCAGGATCCTCACTGACAGAAATGACAAGGATTTTGAGGGTGGCAAATTTAGTCATGCAACAACAAAATAAATAAAATAAATAATAATAATTAACAACAGCACACACGTTTCTTATTCATTGGACAAAGCTTATATTTTCTGTTAAATTAAAAAGTGTCAGTGGTGAAATGCATGCTGGACTCCGCACATTGCTGGTGATAAAAGGTTACATTTTAACTGTCCTTGTCAATTCTAACAGAGCTAGAATTTAACTGTCCTTGTCAATTCTGTGTCAGTTCTAACAGCTAAAAATGCTCACAGGTTTAGGTCACAAAAGATGACAAGTGTCAACAGCAGATCTGCAGGGAAGGCAATGATTCACAACACCTGTAACTCCTGATTGTCTTCTCTCTCGGTATTTGTTAGGTGCCTGGTTGAGAAGGGAGACGTGGCCTTTGTTAAGCACACAATTGTCAGTGAGAACACCGATGGTATGCGATTATTTCACCTTGACATTAGACTCCATAAATGACTAGACTGGATACTCATGAAACCTATGGTACAGACCGTCTGGCTGTAAAGGTCTAGGACTAGATCTGTCAGTAAGCATAGAGAATAGAAAGGGCTGTGGAGAAGGGGAGCGCTTCATCATGCTGGTGGGAATACCCCACACTGACTTAGCTGCTGCTGAAGCACATGGTTCTAGTAGCATTGCTTCCCTTCATCGCCATCCCACTGTGCTCTATGGGCTTGAGCCAAAGCCAGCTGAAGTCAATGGGAGTCTTTCCATCACCTTCAATGGGCTTTGGATCAGGTCATAGGAGGGCAAAGCCTCGTTATCTGCTCAGGGATAGAAATGTGCAGATTTGGGTGGGCGCGCACACACTAGTGCTAGCTTCAGACTCCAGTGGCTGGTCACTGCAGTCTATGGCCCAAGTCCTGCTCACCTTGCTCTGGTGTTGGGGAGCAGATGGCATGCCCACCCTGCTCCAGATAAAGCCTGCCCGTTCTGTCTGAGATCAGTCTTACCCCTTTCCTGGGGTATGACTTCACTGGTAACTCAAACAACAATCATAGAACAGAAACCCCAGTCCAGGCTTTCTCCCCAAGACTGGTCCCAGGGCTTCCTGCAGGGACAAGCTGTCTCTGTCCCTAGTTCTCTGACCACAGGCTAAGCCCCCTTCTCTTCCTTCCTCATGGAATTAACAAGCCACACCTGCCCCAGTCAGCCCAACTCCCACTCAACAGTTTCATGCAGGGTTCTCGCTCCTGCCAGCCTGTCACAGAGTCTGCCAGTCACTGTCTGTACACCTGAGAGTTCAATACCCATTTCCACAAGCCCTGGCTACGGTCTTCAAGCCAGCCTAGGGGGTTTAGACACATCCTCTAGTAGAATGAATATTAACAGAAGATGTGTGAATAAATCCTCCAGATTGCCCTGTCTCCCCCACGCTAGCCACTTCCTGTTGAGCTCTAGTCAGTACATCTCCTAGACACATGCATGTATCCAAATACAAGCGCACACACAGACATTCCCAATGATACCCCCCATGGGCAGCCACACTCAGAGCAAAGCCTGGTGCTCTCAAACAGCTCTAGAGCCTCCATCTAATTCTCTTTCAAGGACATAATAAAGCTGACTGGGCAAAGGGGCTGAGAAGTGACCAATTCGAGTTGCTGTGCCGGGATGGAACTCGCGCTCGTCCTGATGAATACAAGAAATGCCACCTGGCTTTAGTTCCTGCCCATGCTGTGGTCACACGTCCAGACAGAGCAACTGCTGTCCGTGAGATGCTGATAGACCAACAGGTCAGTACTGGGGCAGAAATCTATTCAGCTTGTTTTTATATTCCCCTCTTAGCATTTAGAGTGAACCAATAACAGGTCATGCATAAGTGACATACGCCAATGTTAGAAACTCTTATCAGCGAGTCCAACTCTCTGTTCAAATCCAGACATAGTTGGCTGTATCAGTGTTTGGATTCATGAGAGTGGATGACCGTACTGCTACAAATGAAATAGAAGAGGGGCAGTCTATCACACTGAATTTTTTTCATCCAATCAGCCCAATTTTCTAACAGCCCATTGCATTTAATGAAAGATCTCCCATTGACTTTGGCGGGCATTGGTGCCAGTCCCATAGGATGCCATAAGTCAGATATTTTATGGCATCACAGACCATATAAACTTTTCACTCAGTTTCAGCTTGTTTCCATATTCTGTCTCATCTACTGGAAATCTGAACGCACAAATAGTGTTTCATACCATTGCAAGAAAAGTAGAGGGGATCAGGACCTTCCTCTTTTGCTGGCAGAGATTCCTGCTGTGACGGGTTGGGTCACAGAAACCCCCTTGGGACTGCCACATGATGTGCTGAGACTACCTCTAAGCTCGTTTTCCCTGGCAGCTTGGGACTTCGGTACCCCGCCTGGTTGTGCCAGACATGCTAGCCTGCTACAAAAACATACCCTGGTCTGAACCACGTCCCCCAAAAGCTGCAGGCTTAACTGAAAACAGCTTAAGAAGTGCTCCTGTCTCCAGCACCCAGATACCCAGCTCCCAATGGGGTCCAAACCCCAAACAAATCCATTTTACTATGTATAAAGCTTATACAAGGTAAACTCAAATTGTTCGCCCTCTACAGCACTGATAGAGATGCACAGCTGTTTGCTCCCCCAGGTATTAATACTTGCTCTAGGTTAATTAATAAGGAAAATGTGATTTTATTAAATATAAAAAGTAGGATTTAAGTGGTTCCAAGTAATAACAGACAGAACAAAGTAAATTACCAAGCAAAATAAAACAAAAACACGCAAGTCTAAGCCTAATACAGTAGGAAACTAAATGCAGGTAAATCTCACCCTCAGAGATGGTCCAATAAGCTTCTTTGACAGACTAAACTTCCACATAGTCTGGGTCCAGCAATCACTCACATCCCTGTAGTTACTGTCGTTTGTTCCAGTTTCTTTCAGGCATCTCTTTGGGGTGGAGAGGTTATCTCTTGAGCCAGCTGAAGACAAAATGGAGGGGTTTTCTAGGGCCTTATATAGTCTCTCTCGTGGATGGAAACTCCTAGTGTTCTCCTGTGCAGAATCACAGCTACAAGATGGAGTTCTGGAGTCACATGGGCAAGTCACATGTCCATGCATGACTCAGTTCTTTACAGGCCGATGCCATTGTTTACATGTTAGTTTGAACATTCCCAGGAAAGCTCAGATGTGGATTGGCGTCTCTCCAGGTCCATTGTTAGCTAAGTACTCCCAATTACTTGAACAACCCCTTCACACTATGTTGACCAAATCTGCCTTATGTGCTTCCTACAGCAAACACTTTAAATACAAGCATAGAGCTAACACTCATAACTTCAGATATAAAAATGATACATGCATACGAATAGGATGAATACATTCAGTAGAACATAATCTTTGCAAAGATATGTTACATGGCATATCTAGCATAAAACATATTCCAGTTATGTCATATTTACACTCATAAGCATATTTCTATAAAGCATTATGGGGTGCAACATCACACCTGGTATACAAGAGGAATTGTCTTATGGGAATCTCTGGCCACCTTAAGTTGAGCTGCAAAGTGAACTTGTGAGACCGGAGAATCCAGCCCTCTGCATGAGGAAAATATGTATTTCGAGATCTCTCACTATTTCTATAGGACCAAAACTGATTAAGACCAGTCATGTAGTGATACATGGCTTCATACTGCAGTCCCTGCTCTCTGTATTATGACTTTCTACCTTGCTCATCACCGTGGTATCTGAGCTCTTTCCAGGTAAATCTGCATGGTGAGGCCCCCTACTGGATTTTGTGGATTCTTCTGCTCTCCTCCCATCCCTGTAGAAGGAAGTTCTTTTGGGAGTGTATGCAAATATTTTTTCTTACATTGTTCCGTTGATGGTGAGAGAACTTTCTCCAGCTTTACGCCATACAGATGATCTGACTCTGCATGAGGCTGAGTCTTTGCTTTCATCTATGTCCATTTACTCGTTCACTCCTGTATTTCAGGCATTGTATGGAAGCCGTGGATCTCAGAAAGCTATCTTCCAGATGTTTCAGTCTGAAACCAAGGACCTTTTATTCAAGGATTCCACCACGTGCCTGATTCAACTCTCCAGAGGAACAACCTATGAGCAGTACCTGGGAAAAGACTACTTTGATTCTATCTCTAGTCTCAATAAGTGCTCACCATCAGGTAACTGTAACAAACCCAGATGAGAAATAGATGAACTGCATCTGTCTGCTACATAGACATGAATATCATGGGGAGTTGGGGCTCGAGGGAGACGGGAGTTATGTCTGTCACTGTCCAGTCCAGTTTTCCAAGCAAAATGAAGGCAACAACTTATGAAGATACCAATACATCTTTTTTTCTTATAAAAATGTTATGAGTTGAACCATGCTGGATTGGTATCACCAGACACTAAGGTCTGTTATTTATCTCTAGTATAGGTACAGTATGAGAAGTGGGGATGCAACCTTCCCTGCCCCGCCAATGTGCTCAGTCCTGTTCTGTAGAAATACATCTTAGGAGAAGAGACGACAAGTTCCTTTTTCACGTCCATTCAGTACTTGGCCTCTCCTCTGAGATTGCCAAGAAGGCGGCAAATTAGAGGAGAAGCCAAGAACGGAAGGTAGCTTTTGTGATGTGGACTCGTGTCCACTAAGAATCTAGCCTGAGATCACCAGTTCATTTCACACAGTCCACCGTCCACTCAGTGAATGGTAGCAACTCTTGGTCCCTGCTGACCTGGCACAGATTTGAACCAGTGCCCTAGAAGCCTCTTAACAAGTCCCTTGAGCCCATCCAGTCCACTGGCCACTAATATTATGAAAAAGTTTATTCCCCAACTGGAACTTCACTTAGGACGGAAGAATCCCATGCACTGCTACAGACTAGGGACCGAATGGCTAGACAGCAGTTCTGCAGAAAAAGACCTAGTGGTTACAGTGAACGAGAAGCTGGATATGAGTCGACAGTGTGCCCTTGTTGCCAAGAAGGCTAACGGCATTTTGGGCTGTATAAGTAGGGGCATTGCCAGGAGATCGAGGGACGTGATCATTCCCCTCTATTCGACATTGGTGAGGCCTCATCTGGAGTACTGTGTCCAGTTTTGGGCCCCACACTACAAGAAGGATGTGGAAAAATTGGAAAGAGTCCAGCGGAGGGCAACAAAAATGATTAGGGGTCTGGAGCACATGACTTATGAGGAGAGGCTGAGGGAACTGGGATTGTTTAGTCTGCAGAAGAGAAGAATGAGGGGGGATTTGATAGCTGCTTTCAACTACCTGAAAGGGGGTTCCAAAGAGGATGGATCTAGACTGTTCTCAGTGGTAGCAGATGACAGAACAAGGAATAATGGTCTCAAGTTAGAGTGGGGGAGGTTTAGGTTGGATATTAGGAAGAACTTTTTCAATAGGAGGGTAATAAAGCACTGGAATGGGTTACCTAGGGAGGTGGTAGAATCTCCTTCCTTAGAGGTTTTTAAGGTCAGACTTGACAAAGCCCTGACTGGGATGATTTAGTTGGGGATTTGTCCTGCTTTGAGCAGGGGCTTGGACTAGATGACCTCCTGAGGTCCCTTCCAACCCTGATATTCTATGATTCAGAGAGGGCTGGAAACAATATATTGCTGTGAGCTCTCCAGCCAGCCAGTGCTCCTGCCCCATTTCCTATGGGGCTTCCAGCTTGGAGAACACATGGCCAGAGTAGCTTTGAGCAGCCTGCCCCGATCCATTCCAAACAGTGAAATCCTGTCGGGACTGGGTTGGGAGAGCTCTTTGTAGCACTTTGTGCATGTAAACCTAGGGTATGTTTTCCACATGGAGAGATTGTTACTGTAGTGTTATCTGTGCTGGTAGAATGTGAAATGTGTTTATTTTCTGTTTAAACAAGCTGCCAGCAATATCTGAATCTGCCTGTTCTCTTCCCCTTACAGAACTCCTCCAGGTCTGCAGTTTCAGTGACTTGGACTGATCAGATTAACGGGAGCGCCTCACAGTGGGAGGAAAAATCTGGATGCTTCATTCCTTGTAGCATTCTCAGCATTGAACTCTAGCTAGCTGGGGTCCCACTGCTGCTGTCTCTTCCCCCCCTTTAACTCACCATTGAAGAGGTGTCTAGCCTGTTCTCATGACGTTTGACTTCCTGCTGTCACCAGAGCAAGAAATAAAATCTCAGAGTCTAACATTGGGCTTGCTGTGATTTAGTTTGAAGTTCTCCTTTGCATTTGGAGTCTCAGCTATTACAGAATGCTATCAAATACACAGAATAGCACAAGCCGGCCTCACAGAAATGTACATATTTATTTTTCAGTGTGTATGGTGTGCCTATCATATTTCTTTGGAAGCACTAACAATGCATCTATATAGCTGCTATGGTAATACAAATAATAATAATACATACCCAGAATAACCCAAACCAGTAGAGCTTATTCAGCACCAAACCTTAGATATCAAGTGGAACCAGTCAGAAACATTGAGCTGCAATTTCCACTAATGCTACATGACCAGCATTTCTGATGCAATAGGTTGGCACCTGTAAGCGGCAAATAAACATAGTTCACTGCATGGAAAATTTAGATTGTGTGCTTTTCCAGAAGGACAATTGTATCGAACCAGCTAAAATCTCCGAAGTATTGACACATCAACTCTCTCGGAGAATGCATGGTCCGACCAGTCAAGTACCCTTCTTGGCTACTCCCAGACTGCTGTGTGGGGATCTAGCAACTGAATCCCTGAGGGCTTTCAGCCTCCAGAGTTGGAACAGAGCCCAGGCACTGCCCCTATCTTCGGGTCCCTAGGCACACTCTTGGGGTGCACTCCCCCACCCCAGGAGCTGACACTATTCTCACAGGAAGGGTAGGGGGGTTAAGGGAACAGGTAACGTGGGGCAGAGAGAGCAAGGAGGGTTGAATAGGGGGTGGGGGGGCATCAGGGGGGTGGGAAGCAGGGGAGATTGGATAGGGGATGGGTGTCCTGGGGGGATGGTCAGGGGACAGAAAGCAGGGGTGTTTGGATAGGATGCGGGAGTCCCGGGGGGTTGGATGGGGATGGGAGTTCCGGGGGGCTGGATAGGGGGCAGGGGCCAGGCCATGCCTCGCTGTTTGGGGAGGCATAGCCTCCCCCAGCCTTCCTTACCTGGCCCTCCATACAATTTCTGTACCCGATGTGGTCCTAGGGCCAAAAAGTTTGCCCACCCCTGATCTAGGAGAACATTAGCCAACCCCTTCTTGCAGCAGCTCTGATTGGTTGTTCTGCCACATGGGAAAGTGGGGCAGGGACCAATCATAGGGCTAAGATTTGCTAGGGGGCTGTGGCTTCTTAGCGCCAGACTGGGCCCAAGCCCCGCCTAAATCTGGTTCACTTGTGAAAAAGTTGCATGAGGTAGTAACACTGCAGACAAGTAGGAGGAAGTATCTTCTCCCAGCTCCGGCCAACCTGCTTAGCATATCTGTTGGCCAGTCAGCATACAGCCATTAAAGTTAAGGGTCATATCTGCTTAGGGTGACCCGAATTGGGTGGGACAGTCTCAAAATGCAGCGTTCAAGTCCTGGGCTGAATGACTCCAGGACGGTATTTGTCCCAGCTCTGCACCTGCCTGAGGCTCAGAGGAAGCGCCAGTCTCACCCCTGCTCCTCCTCTTCCCCATAGGCCCCGCCCACTGGCCAGGCCAGAAGCTGGAGCTGGGCCGTGGTAAGAGCCACCCAGGGAGCCTGGGCCACTGTGGAGAGCCCTGGACCCTCTACCTGCCCTGGGTGGCACACTTGTTATTTCTAGTGCAGCCCAGCTTGCTTCAGGCTGAATCCTGAAGGGGCTTACAAAGTACAGTCAGGTTAAGCTAACTTGCTGAGCAAGGGTGCTGATCTGTAATTTATAGCAGTGGTCTTAAAGTACAGGATATTTGACTCAGGGGCTTCAGTTTCAGAGTTCCCTTTGGATTATTTAAACACTAGTTTTGGATTTTTTTAGGGCCCGTATGTCCTGGTTGTCCCCACTGATCTGGGCCAGTGTTGCTAACACTTGTGATTGGTTGGAGTTTTCCCCAAAGCCCCAACTGCTACAGTCAAGAGACTGTGTGAAAAGTAACCTCAGCTTTCATTAACAAAAAAAGGAAACGTATATGTCTGATGTTTGCAGAGAAAAACTTGAAAAAGCTTAGGTGTGCCTCCTAAAGTCTGTGTAAAAGAAGGCATAGAAAAAGAATCCAAAATTTATTATTTAAAAAAACCTCAAGATTTTTAAGCCCATGATTTTTGGGGGGCCCTGCCTCATTATTTTTGAAAGCTTTGAGGTCAGTAATTCTGAAATCAGATCATAAATGGCCAGTTTTTACTTTGCAGAGTGACAGCATGTTTTCAGGCCTCTGTGTATTCTCAGACAGGCACTTTTTCTCTTTTTAGTAGCGCGTGATGCTTTAACTGCATGGACCTCTCTCACCCAACTCGAGTACAGCAGTTGCTTGACTGGGAACAGAAGTAGGCTTGTAACTTGGACCCCTTGTTTGCTGTAGCTCTCCATGTACATATTTATTAAGAAAACTATTGGTCTGAATATTGAGAGAACAGGAGTTAGTGAGCTGGAGAGGAATCATGGAGAGTAGCCTCTGCTTTGCTAATTTACATCTCAGACGTACTTAATGATTTTAGCTTCTACTAGCAGCAGCTTGCTGAGGTGTTATTTTTAGAGGAGCAAGCCCTATATGTTAAAAACCAGTACCATCAAATGTGAGTAATTTCAAATGGATTATTTATATCCAAAAATTCACTGCATATCTAGAAATTTAGTAGGGGCCCTGTGGAAAATATAGTACTGTATGTACTCATGTAATTAGAGACAATATACATACACAAGGGGGCACACTTCAGGTTGCTAAACAGCCTTAATCCTGACCTTTCCTAACTTTTGAGTACTTGACTTTGCAACGCTAATAATGTTCTCTTAATGCCATTTTTTGTATGGAATATACTATGTAATATGTAGAATTCAAGGATGCAGCAGCAGGCTGATTAAGGATTAATGTTTTCCTTACTCCCGCAGTGCTCCATATAACTGCCTGTTTAGCTGTGGAGGTCATGCAAGTCACTCTGGTGACCCATGAACTGCTATCTTGTCAAGCCTTTGGGAAACGGCCCACTATGCTCTGGAACTATTTGGCGTTATAAATTGATAAATCCTGGTGTGGTGGCGACGCTGGCTGTCCTACGTGGGAGCAGGAGGTAGGCATGACTGCCAGTGACCCTGGTGCAAAAAGAAGAGTCGCTGTTAAAAGTTTTACAGACTGTTTGGCAGCAATTGCCTGCAGACTGCTGAGTGAGTGCACTTAGCAAAGCCACCTGTGGCGCTGGGCTCCTAGCAGAGCTGGGCTACGGCCCCCAGCACACCCAGCTCCATGGGAGGCGGGCTGGGCCCTCATGCCGTGTAGGATTACCATATTTTAAGTTCCCAAATAGAGGACACTGCTGGGTGGAGGGGAAGTACAGTTTCTACTGTAGTTCCTTTCTAATTTGAATATCGAATATTTATAAATAACAAGTGTGATGACCTCAAAAACAAATTAAAATCAAATTTAAAGGTAACTTTTTCCAGGCAGTCAGTCCCAGCCCACAGCCGCTGCTCTCCAGCCGCCCAGTTCTGAAGGCATCACCATCGCCAGCAGCAGCGCAGAAGTAAGTAAACACACACGCTGGGATTTTCAGTTCTACCAGAATCGACGTTGGAAAAAGGACGAGCAAGAAAAATCACAGACGTGTATATTTCAAAACTCCACTGGGACAGAGATTGAAGGAGAGGCCGTGTGTGGGGAAACCTGGACATCTGGTAACCCTGGCGCCATGGGCGCTACAGAGGAGCGAGAAGCGGGGCTCCTGTCACGGGCCCTGGGCTGCTCAGATGAGCGGAAGTGGCCTGGAAAGATGCCCTCTCTGACCGTGACCTCCACAGGCGAATGGGGGGAGTTAAACTGGGTCAGGCCAGGAAACCCTAGAAGGGATCAACACCCTGTGGGGCCCCTGGCTCAGTGCGCCGCCCTCCAGGCCAGGAGAGGGAAGAAACTACAACTCCCATGAGGCTTTCCAGAGAAGGCCCTGGAGGACCACAACTCCCGAGAGCCCTTGCGGCGAGACTGTGGGCGGTTGCGGGCGGGGAACTACGTTTCCCATGATGCATCTGCACGGCGCGGCGCTCTGACGGCGCAGGCCACGACTAGGGACACGTGGCTGTCAGCGCGGGGCAGGGGATGGCGCCGGAGGGCGACCAGCGAAGCGGGCTGCAGCCCTACCTGGACTCGCTGCGGCAGGAGCTGCAAGTGCCGGACTCGACCCTGCTCTCGGTGCTGCTGGCGCTGCTGGCCGTAGCCCTGACCCTGCGTGAGTGACTGCGGCCTGACACCCCGACTCGCTGCGCGGCCCGCCTGCCCCCGGCCCGGTACCTCGGCTCGCCTCCCGTCGGCCCGGTGCCCCCGACACCCTGCGCGGCCCGGCCCGGCCCGCTTTCTCCCGGCCACCCCGGCAGGCTGCCTGGTCTACCTCCCTGGCCCGGTACCCCAACCCCCTAACGTACTGAAAGTACCAGTGTCACAAATTCAATGCGCACAATCACCCCTCTTGTGGTTGATTTTTGAATGCGCTTTTAATTTACAGTGGAACCCCATTTATCCGATCTAATTAGGACTGGGGCCAGATCAGATAATCAGAAATTGGGATAATCAGGAGAATTGGCAAAGAGCTTTCTAGCCCTTATTTTAAGATGAGGTGAGAGCTCAGGCAGTCAGTCCCTGGTGGCTGGTGGTTCGCTTAATATGGAGAGCCAGATAATGGAGGCTCGGATAAATGAGGTTCTATTGTATATCAATAAAACGTGTTCAAACTGAAACCTATATATATCGGGGCTCGGGAAACTGAAGTTCAGCGTTTCATCTTAATTGTGGAAAAAATGCAGATTTTTGTTGTTTTTATTATCTGAGAATTTTGGTTTTTTTTTTGTATCATGGAAAACTAGGATCCCAGAGCCTTTGCTCAGTTGCAGCTGACTATCTTCAGATGTGGTCCATGAGTTTTCAGTGAAGTTTGTCTATATGGAAAATTTAGAAAAGTTAGTATGAACCATTTGTTAGCTAGAGAGATTTAGAGAAAAAATGGTGGGACTTGCAAAATTAAAGGGAGTATTATTTAATTTTAACAGCTAATTGTTCATCTATAACAGGTAGTATTAAACCTCGTCAGTATGAAACTCAAAGCCAGCTTACCTGTGAAGATGCTATGGCACCTCCATAATGCTCAGAGCAAGGTTAGATGAAAAGGGGTAAGACATCTGAGCTGTATCTAGACTAGTACTTCCACTGATGGCGAATTACAAATCCAAAATTTGTTTGTACAGATGCATGCTTGGCCATATGCTGATATCCTGTAATTTTTCCTCTGTCCACAGTGGTTTGGAAACTTATCCGGGGCAGGAAGAGCAGCCGGAGGACGGTGCTTCTGGTAGGCCTTTGTGACTCAGGAAAAACACTGCTGTTCGTCCGAGTAAGTAAAGTTTGGGGTGTTTTATAGTACTCCTGCCACTGAGATTGGCAAGGTGAATGAAAGCTGAGTGGCTCGTGCTCTTCTTTTCAAACCTTTAATGGGCTCTTTGGGTGCATTTGTGGAAGGGGAGAACTCTCTTTAAATTAAAACTTGCAAGTATAGTAGATTCTGCTTAGTAGAAACCTGGATGTTAACAGCTTCTGGTTAATAGCATCATTTTGTTGGGAATCAGCCCTGTCCTATTGACTTTAAGGTTAATGGGATTCAGATGTTGGCAGTGGCATGCCGTTTATTAAGGACAATTTTTTAGGAGGAAGGCTCCAGCTGCAGGTAGGTTTGCAAGCTGCAGCCAAGGAAGGAAGTGCTGGACCGGGCCTTCTCTAGCTGCAACCTAGCAAACCTGCCTGCAGCCCCTAGTGCTTCCTTCTGGGACTGCAGCCCAGCAAGCCTGCCTGTGCACAGGAATTGCACAGGAGGTCAGGGGCTGGGGCTCTGTGGGGAGGCTGGGGGAAGTAACTGGGCAAGGTGGAAGGGGCGGCTCGGGTGGAATGGGCGGGTTTGGGGCTAGACTCCCCCAGCCAGCCCTTCTGTACTGCCCAGCCCATGCCAGCCAGGGCTCCGGCGGCAATTTAAAGGGCTCGGGGCTCTGGCCGCTGGCACAGGCCCCAGGACAGCTGCCCCTTTTGCCCCACCCCTCCAATTGGCGGCCCTGCTGGTACGGTTGGCTGTGTATCGATAGCCATTTTCTTACCGGTTTACTTTCACCTCTGGCTGCAGCCCAGGTGCCAGAGCTTCACGGTACCTCTCCTTGTGCTCCCCGGGCTGCACCAGGGAAGAAAGCGCTGGGATGTGCTGAGCCCCAATCCCTGGAGAGTTGAGGTGCTGTGCAGCTCTCTGGACTCCCACTGCCCCTACTCACTGTAGAAGCCCCAGCATCTGGGCTGCAGCCCCGCTGCCCGCAGGCACGTTTCCTTGGCTGCAGCCCTACAAGTTGCAGGCCAGCATTTCCTACCGTGGCTGCAGCCCTGCAAACGTGCCTTCCATTTATTGGCAACTGCTGGATAATGGCAAATTTTTGCAGGCTGCTGAGGGGTTGCTAATAAGCAGAATCTGCTGCACTTTGTTTTATTCCCTCTTGTTTGCAAAATGCTCCTTGAAACATGAAGATTAGAAAACCTATTTTTTCTATTTGGCACATTTATTCAGTTTTGAAAAGAACTAGAAATGATGATGACTTTGTAAATGCCTTTTTAAAACATGTATTTAAATCTATCACCCTTTCCCAATCAGCTTGATTATAAAGTGGGCCAAATATCAGACCTATATTATTTTATTCTTTTTTAAAAAGTCTCAAAGCTGAGTTCATCTCTTTATATGTTCCTGTATTTTCATTACCTTGTTCTAAATGTTGTTTCATCCCTGATTTTAGAAATCAGGCTGATTAAACAACTTGTTCATACATAAGTAAAAATTAATTATAGCTTGACACGATGCTTTTTGTTTGCTTGGGTAGTCTTCAGTGTCCCTATTCTGTTTCCAGTAAGGCTGCTGGGATACATAGCAAAGAATGTTTAGTGTTTTCTTGAGAGGAAACTGCCTACAGCATTGTAATTGCATGTCATTCTGGACTGTGATTAAGCATTAATGGCAGCTTTGAATTAGGCTCGGTGTTGGAGCCCTTCATTTGGGGGGATGGAAGTGTTCCATGGAGATGGAGCCAGCCAGTGTTAATTGATTGGGAGGTTCCTGGAATGATAGGAAACAATCAGTTTAACATTTCCTAAAACAGACAATTCCATTGTTTTGCTGAAATTTCATTGAGTAGAAAAAACATTTCCTCGGAAACCTGGAAATAGGATTGATTTTCCTTTGTCTTGTTTTATTTTTAATAGCTGTTAACAGGCACTTACCGAAACACCCAGACCTCCATAACTGATAGCTCTGCTGTTTACAGAGTCAGTAATGACAAGGTAAGCAGACACTGGTTTGGATTTTGCATAAAACTCTTGGGGTATGACAAGTTTGGTTGTGAGTTGGTGGCCTTAGAATTTACAGCTAATTATAGTCAGATTCTGCAGAGAGAGGCACTAGTCTCTGTGTAGTTAAGCGGAAGCTATAAATCTGATTTGGTGTCTCCTTCTCCTAGCTTTGCCAAAACTGGAACCGGTCTGCCTAAAATTTCACTCAGTTGGTCTTAACCTGGGATAGAATCTTTCTAGAGAGGCTGGGACAAATCTGTGATGGAAGGGTAGATAGGGAATGGAGGTCTGAGAAGCTCAAGTGGGTTTCATTCCGTTGTCAGATTCTATTATTTTTTTTTTTTTTATTTTTTTTGGTTCATCGTATCTTCAAAGTGTCTTGACCTAGAAACTACAGATTTGTTCCAGTCTTTTAAGGAGGTTGGTTGGGGGATTATTTAGGTATTAAGAGCTGTGTTCATAAGCTAAGTAAAGGATGCATGGCGCTAATGGGGCAGGAGTCATGAGAACGGAACCATATGAGGAAAGGGGGCTGGTCAGAGGTGAAAGTAAGCCGGTACGATACTGGCGGACCGCACCGGCTTCCGCGGCGGGGATTTAAAGGGCTCCCCGCCGGGAGCCCAGAGCTCTTTAAATCCTGCCCGCAGCTCCGGTGGCCGGGCTGGGGCCGGATTTAAAGGGCACAGAGCTCCGCGGCGGCCGGAGCCCCGGGCCCTTTAATTTGCCCCTGTGCCCCGGGGGCTCCCAGCCACCTCTGCAGCTGGGAGCCCTGGGTAGATTTAAAGGCCCCGCCCCCTCAGGACTCTGGCAGTACCAGTAAGTCCTGTAACTTACTTTCACCCAGGGGGCTGGTCCAGAAGAAGCCACAAAAATCTCTAGCAAAACATTAACCTTGAGTTCAAGGGACGCTCTCAACTTGAATTCTAGTTATTTAAGTCTTACACCACCCTCACACTGCTAATATTTGTAAACTTATCATATTTTTCTGTTGTTAGACATATATTTCTTTCCCTGTTGTGTGAAAGGCCTATACAAATTTTAGGGCAGAGGTCCCCAATCTGTGGGGCGTGGTTCCCTAGAGGGAAGCTGAAGAACGTTTAGTAGTGCATGGCTGGGGCCCGGGCCAGCCTCCATGGGGGGCAGCAAAGGGAACGGCACCCATCTCTGCTCCTGCCTCTGGCTGCCGGCCCCGTGCCCAGGGCTCCGTGCCCACCCTCAGCAGTGACCCCAGCCTCGGCCCCCTTACCCCTGTCCACATTTCTCCTCCCCCGAGCTGGGGTGGGGGGTGGCGGCACTGCCGCCGCAGGTGGTGGTGGCGGCGGCGGCAGGGTTGGCAGGCTCCCTACCTGGCTTGGTGCCTCCCTGAGCGCGGCAACATCCCTCAGCTCCTAGGCAGAGGGGGAGCCACAGCCAGGCAGCTCTGCACGCTGCCTCCTCCCTGAGCGTTGGCTCTGCAGCTCCCATTGGCTGGGAACTGCAGTCAATGGGTGCTGCGGGGGTGGTGCTTGCAGGTGGAGGCAGCGCGTAGAGCCACCCAGCCCCTCTGCCTAGGAGCTGAGGGATGTTGCCGCTTCCGGGGAGCCTCCATGAGGCAAGCGCCGCCCACATCTCTCTCCCGCGCCCCAGCCCTGAGCCCCCTCCCACACCCAAACTCCTGCTGCTGTTGGGCAAGGGGGGTGCAGTGGCCTGAGACTGCCCCAGTGGTGGCATGGGGGCCTCTTACACTCATGTATAGAAGCTGCCTATCAACAGCAAATAAGTGGGAGATTTTGGGCACATATGCTGTAGGACAGGGGTCTCAAACATGCGACCTGCAGCGTTATTTTCTGTGGCCCGCGAGCTCCCCGCCCCGGCCGTCCCCCAGCATTTACCTAGAGCGGCTCCAGCCCGATGCGCACCGGGGCCAGGCAGGCTCCCTGTCTGCCTGCCCTGCCCCCGCGCTGCTCCGGGAAGCGGCCGGAACCTGGGGAAGGGCGCAGGGGTGTGTGTGGTTGTTGCTTCAGGCACCGCCCCCAGCAGCTCCCATTGGCCGCGGTTCCCCGTTCCCAACCAATGGGAGCTGCTGGGGGTGGTGCCTGAAGCAACAGCAACACACACACCCCTGCGCCCCCCCTTCCCCAGGTTCCGGGCGCTTCCCAGAGCAGCACGGGGGCAGGACAGGCAGGCAGGGAGCCTGCCCTGCCCCTGGTGCATGTCGGGCCGGAGTCCGCCCCCCGAATCCCTCCTGCAGCCGAACCCCCTGCCCTGAGCCCCCTCCTGCACCCCGCACCTCCCCTGCACCCCGACCCCCTGCCCTGAACCTCCTGCCGCATCCTGACCCCCTGCCGCACCCCTCACCCCTCCTGCACCCTATACCCCAACTCCCTGCCCTGAGCAGGGAGCAGGGAGGCAGGGTGGAGTTGGGGTGGGGATTTCAGGGAAGGGGTTGGAGTGGGGGCAGGGAAAGGGTGGGAAGAGGTGGGGCAGGGCCTCATGGAAGGGGTGGAGTGGGGGTGGGGCCGAGGGCGGCGTGGGGGAGGTGTCAGTAAATGCGGCCCTTGGGCCAATGTACTAGTACTCATGTGGCCCTCGTGGTCATTTGAGTTTGAGAACCCTGCTGTAGGAGAAATGATGATACCAAAAGGGGTTGGGGAACTGCAAAGCAGTCTTGTTTGCGGTGTAGGCCATGGCTGTCTGTAGAATATGAACTGTTGTGTATCTTGTTACATATTTTATTACCCAGACCTACATGATCATGCATATTTGTGGATTAAATATTGATGGAATTGTTACTTCTTCTGGTCCATTTACAGGGCTCTAGTGTGACGCTGATTGACCTCCCAGGCCATGAGAGCTTGCGACTTCAGTTCTTGGAGAAGTTCAAAGCTACAGCTAGGTAAGTGGTTGAAGAATGGAGGAGATAGATGCTTCAGTCTGTAAATGGATAGAGGCCAAATTATGATATGAAGGCTGGGTTGGGGAGTGAGTTGAGAGAGATTCGAGCAAATATGGAGCCCCTATAAAGCTGTTCTCTTGTGCCCTGTGTTATAAGGTCAAAAACCAATGTGCAACCTCCTTCATTTCCTCCACCCTTCCATCCCCCGGAACTGCTCTGCCATGCCAGCTTGAGGGAGGGGTGTGGGAAGAGGGTGGTAGAAGGCAATAGGAAATGCGCATGGCACTGGTGTGTGCATTTCTGGAGAGAGTAGAAGGAGGTTTCCACTCAACTCTGTCTGCACGTTGCAGGTGTTGCTTTGTACCATGATAAGCAAACATCACACTGGCATCCCTGGTAAGGCAGCACCCTCACCTGTCCAGCACACTGACCCATGCTGATTGGGGCAGGGGTTCTGTGCTGCCTTTGAGCAGAAAGTCACCTATGGTACTGAGTCAACAAGGTCGCTTGTGCAGCGCCTAGACTTTCCTTGGAGGCCTTCCATGCCAGTGCTGTTCATGTCAAATCCTGCAAAGCTTACAATGTGGCAGCAAGGATAACATAGTTGCCTGGCCCCACTGTACAGACAGAGCATGCAGGTAGGATTTAGCAGAATTGCATTCCCAACATTTTATTCAACATATTCCAAACTTCTATATAATGGAGCAACTCTTAGTTCAGGGGACTTGCCCCAGAGGGCAGTATAGAGAGAGCTGAAGGCAGTTCTTTGCTGGATTTTTGATATCAGCTTTCTTAAATAGCACCAGGAAAGTGAACCCACTAAGATTTTTTTTTTTTTTTTTTTTAAGGGGAGGGGGCACAATTGAGCTTTAAGAGTGGATCTTCAGCACCCCAAGCTAGTACAATCCCTGCACCTTGGGACTTCTCCCCTTTTTTTAAAATCTTTCCTGTTCTAGTTAAATCCTGTACTTCTCTCTGTGTCCAGCTCCACAGCCTCAGATAGTGGCCTGGGTTCAGGCTAAGGTTGCTTTGGGAAATGAATTACTCTTTTATATTTCAAAATTAATGTTAGTCACTGGGAGGGCTGTCAGGATCTCTTTGGTGGGGTTGATATCAGCTGATAACTGGTGGGAGTGGCTGAGCCATCCATACCATAGTGTTAGCAGGGGATGGGCAAGCTCTCTTCCCCTGAGCGTAGCCAATGCTGCATTCAAGTTGCTAATCTGCTCCAAATGTTCCAGACCTGAGCCTCTGCCAGTGCACCTCAATCGTGATCTGCAGCTTTCCAGTTCTGGCTCATTTGTGAGCAGATCACCAGATGTAGCAAATGGCTGGCTGTTGTAAACATAGGGCCTCCAGAGGTCAGGCCAAAAAATGGCTTTGACTTAGGAAGTGTTCTGAACACAAGAACCAATTGCTGATGCACTAAACCCTCTGCCCTTGATGGTATTTGTTAGAGGGCTTTCCCTTCACCCTCCCACTTCCCTGGTTCTTGTCATGCAGACAGTGTGACGAAGCGGGACTGTTCTTAATGTTTTCTCTGAATAGTGTGTGGGTGCCTCAGTTTCCCCTATGCATTTCTTAAGTATCTAGGTGGGGGGGATCAGGCTGTGGATTGTTGCAGAGTCCTAGAGGGCAGGGGTGATGCGGTCTGCACAGAGAATGGCCGACACCCTGTCTCCTGGCAACTGATGGCCTGGGCCCCTTCCCTGCAAGGTGCCAACTGAAGGTGTTGGAGAACAAAGAGATCAGGTGGCCTCCTGGCTCTGGGAAAGAGACAAAGGCCAGAGGAGGGGCTGGAGGGAGTCTCAGTTTGGAGCTGGCTGGGGAAACTGAGGGAGGCCCAGGACTAGGGTCTGGGCTCCCTACCCTCCCAAGATGGACCTGACTGAGGGGTCCTGTTTTCTGTACCTACAGGCTCTGTTTTGGCCTGTGCTCCTGTCGTCTAATAAACCTTCTGTTTTACTGGCTGGCTGAGCGTCACGGTGAATTGCAGGAAGTGGGGGGTGCAGGGCCCTGACTCCACCACACTCCGTGACAGACAGCAAGCAGCAAAAGACCAGACGTCTGAAGTGCAGACAATGCAATGTTTATTGGGATTAGTTTCCAAGCAAGCATACTCCGAAGCCCTTCACACCAGTTGGGCGTATCTCTGATCGTCTGTTCCCCAGTGTTCCGTTCCCAGCTCTGATGCTGCAGAGCATTTACCCTGTGTCCCCCTTCCCAGCTCTGATGCTGCAGAGCCTTGCCTGTGTCCCTGTTCCCCCACCTTAGCAAGCATGATTCCAATTTCCCCTCCACCTCCTGTTTGACCCCAGTTTATATAGTAATATTCTCAGCTATATCTTAACCAGTCATTTTACTGAAATTTAACTAACCAATCCTAACATATTGTAGCATAATTCTCTAACCTATTATATCCCACTACCCTAATTAACTTACACCTAGCAAAATTAATTATACAGCAGACAGAAACAATTAGAGAACCAGACAGATTAACTATAGAAAAGAGGGGGCCATAAAGATAAAACCATACGGAAATGAGGGTTTCACAGCCACAACCATTGATACGTGGTTTCTTGCCAGACAGGATGCTATAAAACTAAGTTTTCTTTAACCATCTTAAGATCTGTTCCTTTATCTGGTGGTGATGGGCACTGTCAGGGTTCCCTCCCCACTCTGAACTCTAGGGTACAGTTGTGGGGACCCACATGAAAGACCCCCTAAGCTTATTTCTACCAGCTTAAGTTAAAAACTTCCCCAAGGCACAAATGTTTCCTTGCCCTTGGACAGTATGCTGCCACCACCAAGTGAGTTAGACAAAGATTCAGGAAAAGGACCACTTGGAGTTCCTGTTTCCCCAAAATATCCCCCCAAGCTCCTCCCCTTTCCTGGGGAGGCTTGAGAGTAACCAAGGTGAGCACAGACCAGACCCTTGGGTTTTTAGGACACTAAAACCCCAATCAGATTCTTAAAAAACAACTTTATTATAAAGAAAAAGTAAAAGAAGCACCTCTGTAAAATCAGGATGGAAGGTAATTTACAGGGTAATCAGATTCAAAACACAGAGGATTTCCCCTCTAGGCAAAACTTTAAAGTTACAAAAACAGGGATAAACCTCCCTCTTACCACAGGGAAAATTCACAAGCTTAAAACAAAAGATAACCTAACGCATTTCCTTGCTATTACTTCCTATTTCTGTAATATTAGATGCTTAGTTCAGATATGGCTTAGGGAGATGTATTTTCCCTTCCCTGGTTCCTCGCTGACCTGGAGAGAACACAAAGGAACACAAAACAAAAACCTTCCCCCACAGATTTGAAAGTATATTCTCCCCTTATTGGTCCTTTTGGTCAGGTGCCAACCAGGTAATTTGAACTTCTTAACCCTTTACAGCTAAAGGAGGGATTAACCCTTTACAGGGTAAGGAGGGATTTTATGCTACCCTTAGCTGTATGTTTATGACAGGCACTATCAGGACAGGATCGTCTTCCTAATAGCCCAATACCACCTTATTTCAATGTGACTGGTTTGGGATGTGAGGATGTGACCATATGCTTCACTGCTTTTATGGCTGCCTCTGCTGCTTAGCCAAAGGCCTTAGCCTAAGAACAAGGCCTCAGACTATCCTAGTGAGAGAAGGCCCGTACACAGGAGGACTGTGATTTTGATTCTTAGCTAGTTACAGGGGTATAAAAACAAAGTGATAAAAATACACCTAAGTTCTTAAAGTATAGGTCTTTACAGGCAGGCCTGAATATCTATATTCTAACAGTATTGTCTGTTGCAGCCGTTCAGAAAAGGAATTCTACTAGTCCGTCACCTCAGCCTGTCAAAATGTATTCTTACCCTCTTGGCTCCCTGGTGTTAAATCCAGGCTTGCTCAGACATGAGATGTGGTGGTAGTTGTAATCCTAAACAATGCTGCCAAGAAAGAAATCTCATTCTCTCTGGTGTCCCACATCCAGCCTGCAGGCCCACTTCCTCTTGAGCCCTAATCCCCAGCAGTAGCTAGGAGAAGCCCTTAATGAAGGTACATTGATTGCTGTTCATGTCAGCCACAGAACTAGTATAATTGCTTGCTTGTTTGTAACTTTGGTTAAATTTTCATTAAAGTGTCCAGGCCTCCTACCTCCTCTTCTATGATGGGCTTGTGCTTTCCATTATGCATAGTACAGAGACTGTCCTAGTAAGGGAGCATTTCTTTCTGTCACTCCTCTGGGAAACCTGCTCTCAAAGACAAGATACCGAGTTAACAGCTAATGGCTTCTTGCTGGGTGGGATGTGTTTTACTTGTCCCAGTCTGAGATTGTTGTCAAGAGTGGGATAACGCTTATTTAGAAATACAAGCTTTTGCTGGGACTGTGAGGCTGGGAAACCCATAGATCAGTGGTTCCCAAACTTTAACAACCCGTGAACCCCTTTCACTAAAATGTCAAGTCTCACGAACCCCCTCCTAAAAATGAATATTTCCAGGGATTTTCTCCTTTACCTGAGTGTAAATTATAAAAAGTAGTGATCTTGGAAATATAAGCATATCATAAAAACACATTTTATTACACACTATTTATTATTTATCATTAGAGTATTTTTATATTTATTTATTTTTATTTTACATTATGAAAACGGCAACACTCTTCCAAGATCTCACTTTCGTAGCTTGTATCACTTTGAATAAGTCTGTTATAAGACAAGGCTCCTATGTTTCATCAAGGAGTATCAGATGTGAAACAGCATAAAGATATTTAAGAAACCAGCTCAGAGTTCCTCCTACACAAGCATTCAGGTCTTGAGCAGTCCAGGCAAACAATGCACGTTACAACAAAGCTTAAACTTGTTCTTCATAATAATTTTAAAAACAATACTAGCTGCCTATTTATTTTAAAAACAGCAAAAAATATCCACCTCCCTTTCCATTTCTTATAAGGAGTTTTGAAGTTTAAATCTCCTCAGTGTGATAGATATGTTTGCTTTGATCTGCTTAGCTCTTGGAAGTCCAGAGGCTCCGGACTGCTTGCCCCATGCTGCCCGGGGTCCCTATGGACAGCTCTGTCCGCCATTAGGGAATTTTTTCCCAAGAACCCCCTGTAACACTTTGTGAACCCCCAGGGGTTCACGAACCCCAGTTTGGGAACCACTGCCATAGATCATTTGTTGCAATTTTAACTTCTGAAACCATTCATGTAGATTCTGATGGAGAAAGATACTGAGAACTCAGGATCCTAATGACTCAGGAAGGTCACAAGTCCAAAAAGGAAGTTGTTTTCTCCTTTGACCCTTCTTATTCAGTGGAGGGGACATGGTGATGTTAGCACTCACGATAACCTTTAGCCACAGAGCCCCACGGTTCAGCAAGGCTAAGAGCTAACTTGCATGTACAGAAATGCAAATTAGATGGTTGCTCACTGTAACTAGGTTGTGTGGGTGGCGCCCCCTTGTGGCCTCTCTGGGCACCGCTTGCCACACTGCAGATTAGGGGTCATGGTGCTTTAGCCCTCCGGCTATGGCATGTTCAAGTTCTACCCCCTTTGGGGGCAACAGTGTCCAGAACGAAAAGGAAAACGTCAGACTTCAGAATGGGTGTGTTGGGAGCATTCCGCCCATCTGCTCTGGGCTTGTCTCGGGTGGTTAGTCCCCTTGTCAGTCCCACCCACCACATGGCTCATCCAGGCAGCAAGCTGCCTTATGCTTTTGGCTGGAGTCAGGCATACCTCGTCCAGGAAATAGCAGAGCCCCGAGCTGGGCCAGGTTTCCCAGGGTGGATAAAAATCAATGGTTTAAAAAAAAAAAAAAAAAAAAAAAAAGTTAGAAAATTGGATTTTTTTTATTTAAATCGGATTTTTTTGATAAAATGCTTTTTGAGGAAAAAACCTATCTAGAGATAGTTTTAATTAAGATACATTGTAGATCAAAGATATCTCATTGTGGAATAGGGATTATAAATTCTAATTCTATAGGATGAGACAATATATTCATTTAATGTTTAAGAAAAGTTTTGTAAATGAATTCCAATAGTTCATGGATTAGGGACCCAATCTTATGGGGTTCCAGGGGCTTCTGTATAGATTAACCTAAATAATCTTTCTATCCACCCAATGGGACTCAGTGCTCAGTCTAGAAGATACCATCATAGATGCTTAGTTTTGCAGTTCTCAAACTGTGGATTTGTGTCTTCTAGGTAACATGCTTGTTAACAGCATGTTTTTAAATAAATAAATTAATATATAGAGGTGAGAAATAACAGCCCTCAACTCTATTGTCCCTCTGGTAAATTTTTGTACACAGAGTCAATCCCTTACTTCTCTCTAAAAGTGCAAAGTTTCAAAAAGTTCAATGAATAGAAGATTGTTGGGGGCGGAATAGATCTGGACAAGGAGAAGAAGTCTGGAGATAAATTTGAGAAGCGAGGGACATATGCTTGTTTTGTTAAAATATTATATGTTTGCTGTTGAAGAAAAATATCCAGAATACTTAACGTTGTTGTTTTAGTTAAATAAAACAATTTAAATGTCTATATGGTGATGTTCTACTCCTAATACAGCATGGCAAGAAAATCCTCCAAATATTAATGATTAACCTGTTGAATTGGAGATGGTTCATCTCCCAATGACTTCATTAATATCTGCTTCAATTACCTTTGGTAAATGAAATAACCAAACAATCATTCATTTTCTGATACAGCTGTAAAACTAATCTGAAAAGTTTTCAAAATAAGTCACTGTTTTAAAATCTATAGTGTGTACCTTCTAAAAATGAAACCTACATCTATCTCTGAGTTGTGAAGAATATGTATTAAGGTTATAACAACCAACAAGAATGCACTTTTATGTAGAAAACCATGATTTAATCGAGTCTTCCTGACTAGTGATTTAAATCAAATCCACCCTGAGGTTTCCCCATTTTAATTCCCCTCTCCCCACCTGACATTGGCTGCAGGTGAAGCAGGGTGAGGTCCAGTGGATCCACAGGCTCTCCTGAACCCCATCATTGCCCTGGTGGGGCAGAGAGGCCCCGTCACGCTCTGTTTGCAGCAACCTTCCGTGGGTGGTAACAGGACTGCACTCAGTCTGCCCAGCTGTATGGGCCTGGCTTCAGCCTGAGGTGGAAGATGGGGCAGTCAGTTGATGCACCAGCCTGTCACCTGCTTCTGGGTTCAACTGTGCCATGGTCAAGAGTGAAAACACATTTGATAATGTTATTCTCGTACCTGCTAGCACAGTAGGCCACTTCTGCTTAGAAGTGGGCTGGATTGGACGGTCAGGAAGTATTACAGGAGGCTGTTCTGGAGAGTAATGGGAGGTGAACTTACCTTGGTGCCTCTCTCCATCTCTGGCTTGAGGACTTTCCCAGGAGAGCGCCCAGCACAGCTCAAGAAGGGCACCCCCGGTCCAGGTTTAGGTGCATCCTGTGTGGGGCCTCATGGAAGTGAGTGTGATGTTGCTCTCCATATGTTTATGGAAATATGCTTATGAGTGTAAATATAATGTAACTAGAATATGTTTTATGCCAAAGGGCTATTGTAAGGTATCATTACAAAGCTTATAATCTACTGACTGTGTTCATTCTATTTGTATGAATGTATCATTCTTGTATCTAAAGCTAGAAATATGAAGTATAACTCTGGGGTCCTATTGTACCTATGCAAACTGTGGGCCATTAATGGTGGTTTGGAATCTTGATGGCTCCCAATAACTAGGACAATTGGGTGTAAATGGCTGTGCTTACTTGTAAGCCTTCCTGTGTTCCTGTGAGTCAGGCTGGGAAGAATGGAGTCTTGGGGTCTCACAGGACATGTGACCATGTCACCTGGTACTGGAATCTATCTTAAACCTGGTGCTTTTCCATTTAGAAGGAGGGGTGGGAACCCAGAGAGAGACAAAGGATTCCCGCCTTGTGCCAAAGTTATAAAAGGGGGTGGAACAGAACAAAGGGGGCTGCCAGTCATGAGAAATTCCCTAGTTACCACCTGAGCTGGAACTAACAAGAACTGTACCAGGGGAAAGGATTGGGCTCAGACTAGGAAGGAGTCTAGTCTGTAAAAGAAGCTTATTAGAACATCTCTGAGGGTAAGATTTTATCTTAAATCCGTTTCTTAATGTATTAGGCTTAGACCTGTGTGTTTTGTTTTAGTTTGCTTGGTGACTGTCTTTGTTCTGTCTATTATTACTTGAAACCACTTAAATCCTACTTTTATACTTAATAAAATCATTTTTGTTTATTAATTAACCCAGAGTAAGTGATTAATTCCTGGGGGAGCAAACAGCTGTGCATATCTCTCTATCAGTGTTCTAGAGGGCGGACAATTTATGAGTTTACCCTGTATAAGCTTTATACAGAGTAAAGCAGATTTATTTGGGGTTTGGATCCCATTGGGAACTGGGTGTCTGGGTGCTGAAGATAGGTAACTTGCTGAGCAGTTTTTGGTCAGAGTATGCAGCTTTGAGGGCGTGGACCAGACCTGGGTCTGTGTTGCAACAGACTAACATGTCTGGCTCAACAAGGCAGGATTCTGGAGTCCCAAGCTGGCAGGGAAAACAGGCTCAGAGGTAGTTTCAGCACATCAGGTAACAGTCCCAAGGGGGTCTCTGTGACCAAACCCGTCACAGTGATGGTGCTGCAGGTCAGGACTAGAGCTGGGTGCAACTTTTTGATGGAAACTTTCTGGCAAAAATTGCAGACTCAGCAGCTCCTGGAGTGTGGTGACAGTCTGGGTCCAATGTGCCAAATTGATTCAGTCGGGGGGAGGGAGGATCTAAATGAAATGATGTGATTTGAACAAAGCGAACTATTTTGGTTTTGTTCCGGTTTGCAATTTTCTTTCATTTTATGTTTCGAACTTCACAGATGTGAACTGAGCCAGCTGAGAAGCTTTGTTCCAGCTGAAATGATTTTTTTCTGACTTTTCTGGCATTGCCAGTGAACAGAAAAGTCCGTTGATTGCCCAACTCTGGACAGGGCTCAAGTGAATTGGCAGAGGTGTGTGGGAAGGCTTGGCCTGTGCTGACCCCTTCCTCTGTCAGGAGTGCTCTGAACAACTCCATAATAAAAGCGTGCTGAGTGATCATGTGACAATCCACTTGGGGAAAACCCCTCTGGGAATGAGGACTTGGGGTATGGGCTGCGTGGCAGTCTGAGCCTGCCAGCCACATGGCTATGTTGTGTTCACTCCCTTTTGCACAGAGCGATCGTGTTTGTCGTGGACAGCGTAGCGTTCCAGCGGGAGGTGAAGGATGTGGCAGAGTTCCTGTACCAGGTCCTGACTGACTGCAGTGTGCTGAAAAACGCTCTGCCACTGCTGATAGCCTGCAACAAGCAAGGTACTGTTCATTGATTGGCAAATTACAGCCCCAAGGGCCTGGGGGCTGGAAGTTCAATAGGCCAAGTCTTTCTGGGTTAACTCAGAGTTTGCGGTGTTCTGGTACCTCTTTTCTTGCCTGACATGGGTGTTGGGTGGGCAAAAAGGGGGGGACCTGTCACAGGGTGACTTGCTCTTTAAGTGGGACTTGGTCCACGACCCCTGCTGCCCAGTTGGGCTAAAAGAAGGCACCTAGGCCTTATAAAGGGGGAGATGGGTTGACAGGTGCCTGCAGACAGTCCAGGGAGTAAGAAGGCTCCTGAGTTAGAAGAGAAGGCTTGTGAAAGAGGCCAAACTCCAGTCAAGAGGTGCTGGGAGAGCAGGAAGAAGACCTTCAGGGAGGAGAGGCTGGGCCCAGCTTTGGACTGGGGCAAAGGCTGTGTAAGTTTGAGTTCTGTATTGAAAGACCTTTGTGCAGGACTTAATAAATTGGAATGTTTTGAATATCTGGCTTGTGTGGATGTTTTAAGGAGCCTTGAGTGAAGGGGAAACGGAGGCAGGCTTCAGCAGGAGTGCTAAAGAGCAGGCATGCCCTTTGACAGGACCACATAGAAAAACCTGCTGTGTTCTGTTGAGTTTTTTCCAAGTTTGGGCCCCACCAAAATAGGGTAGGAAACTAATTCCAGAGTCAAAGAGCTCTAGGCAAGAACGCTATCACCAGCCCTGCTTCTCCAGGTTATGCTAGGGGCTCTGGTGTTTTGATGATCCCAACTGCATGGGAGTTACCCGGGGAGAGGCAGCTTATCAGCGAGCCATTGAGGTAGGGAAGATAATTTTCCAAAGGTGAATGGAGTGCAAATCCCTGCAGAGTTGTCTTCCTGAATCTGCAAACAGCATAAAACAGTAGCCCCGAGAGCAGTGTCAGCTGCCTCTGTGCATTATGCAGTGTTGCCTCTGAAACCGAGAAGCAATTTGAATGTCAGCATTAGTTATCCTGCAAAATTCTGTCTCCAATAGACAGATGCCTGCAGCACACTGAAAGCTCAGGCAACGTGAAGTCACTGTAATTTAATATCTAAATAACACAAGGGAATCTGTCCTGGCTGTGGTGTTCACTTCCATATGTAATTCAAACAAACACTTCCATTTTGTATTCTACCTGAGGCAGCTGCAGAATTCCCAGTTTGCCACACTGGGCTGCCACAGAAAGTAGGGGGTCTTGCTGTTGACTGTAACTCCAGCCAACCTTAATTCGCATGGGGCCCCTGGTTAAAATACCAGGTGATAGTATTATAGCGATGGGGTCTTGTCACTGAGCGTTCATTCCCACACGGAGCCCGCTTTTCCATGTCTTGGAAAGAAAATGATGATGTTCCAAGTGTAATTTTTTTAAACCACTTTTTTCTAGATATCACGATGGCAAAATCGGCCAAGCTTATTCAGCAGCAGCTGGAGAAAGAACTGTAAGTGTGGGGTGGCTTTTGTTACATATCTCAGTGCCCCTCTCTCTATTTTACCCTCACTGATGTCCTCTCATGTCAAGCAAAAGTCTCCTTTTGTGCATGTGTGTGGCCATTTCACAGTGAAGAAAGGAGCCAACACATGAGCTAGTAAAATCGCAGCAGCCCTGGCAGGTGGGGATTTCCTGAGGGGAAAACACTGCTGCAAAAAGTGGGCATGTGCACAGGCTCCTAATCTACAGGGGAGGGAGTGCTGGACCGTAACTACATGGCAGGAGCAGTGACAGCTCTCCTGTGTTCCAGTGGGTTACGTGTTCACAGCATGCTGCAGAGTTCACTTACAAGGAAGATGCTGCTGCTGCTATTGGTTGTATTATCCAGTTCTGCCCTTTAAGTGTTTAAATCGTCATCACTTTAATCTGAATGTGGCCATAGCAGACAAGTAGAGAGAGAGTCCCTCTCCTCTGCCCTTTCACTTTCTATTTTTTTAATCAATCATGGAATCAGCCCTTCCTGGGACAGTCAGTGTGGCACCTGATTTCTAGCAGAACTGAAAATCAGAACCTATTTGATACAGTCAGTCTTGCTCCCCATAATTGTAACCAGACTGAGTCTGCTCTGGTCAGCCCATTAAATCACTTGTAAAATGCGCGCTATGACCCCAGGGCATGAAGAAGTATGCAGGAACAGTGTTTTAAGATTGTTCACCAGTTTGCGTCCCTCCCTGCAACAGTTTCCACTCATGGTGATTTTATAGAATCCAAGGCCAGAAGGGACCATTGTGATCATCTAATCTGACCCAGGCCAGAGAACTACCTCAAAACAGTTCCTAGAGCCGATCTTTTAGAAAAACATCCAGTCTTGGTTTAACAATGGTTGGGGATGGAGAATTCAGAGGAAGAGCTTGCAGTACTTGCATATCCCCGAGAGTCCCTAGTGAGGGGGAGGGCAGGGAGAGTAACATTTCAAACTTCACATACAAATCGCTTCAAGGTGGGACGTTGCCCCACCAAAGTTCTTGGTTTTTATATTCACTTCTGCACTTTGTCCAGTAGATGGCAGTGGTGGTATTTAAATGGGGCCTGTTCCAACCTGAATGTATGCCCCTCCCTTTCATAAACAGAATTAAATCCGCACTGTGGAGCTCAGAGGGGAAAGAGGCAGCAGGGTCATTTTCTGCAGTTCCGATGTTAGGTGTTTGCAAGTTATTTATGTCCTGAGACTGGGTTTCTGCATAGAACTCACTGGCTAGTGTGCCAGCATTGAACAGGGCCTTGCTATTCCCGTGGTGTTTGCCTGCTGCTATACAGACCCCTCAAAACACTACACTGGCTCTTCTCGGCATGTCAGGCTCTTTTCCAGCCAAGCCTGACCAGCAACGCTTCCGCTGTGTTGTCCATAAAGCGAGGTCTCTGCTGCGTCGGTGGGTTCAAATAACAAAAGCTGCTAGGCTTGGCTGAGAGAGAGAGGACTTGGGCAAGTAGTTCAGGCATAAGAAAGGCTGAGGATTTGTAACAATAATGGAATGAAATGACTCGACAGTCCCATCCCGCCGGCTTTTCTAGATGCCCAGAGGCCTGAGTTACTGTTTGCATCAGAGCCCGGGTTGGGCCTAACAGTCTAGACTTCCCCAGGCCCAGCTCTGCTCTCCTCTTTGGCCTTTCAGAGGCAACTGAAGCATACGGTGTTGGCTTTCTTGGAGTGCTTCCCTCTCACCTGCCCCCCTCTCTGTTAACTTCAGGCCCCCCAGCGTGGCAGAGGAAGGAGAAGGGGGATAAACGAAATCAAAGGCTGACAAGGAGGGTTCCCCCCCACTCCAGGGCAGTGCAGAGAGATGGGGGACTGTGATTAAGGGAGAGAAACAGGGCGACAGAAATCTGTCACATTGCTTTCGTTCGTGTGTGTGTGTCCTAGAGCAGACAGCCGCACAATTAGCAGGGGTCCGAAGGGAAGTGGGAGGGGAGCTCCCTCCTTTTACCCTTCCTGCCCTGCCAGGAGCTCTGATCTTGGTGCCTCCTCAATAGAGTAGGGGCTGTCTGTCTGCATTGATCCCTGCCACCCTCAGAGCCGATCCTCCTCAGTCACCTGTTAAATACACCAATAGATTTTTTTGGGCTGACTGCCCTGCCCCAACTTCCTGATTCTCCAGGTGAGGGAGCTGCTCTTCCACTAGAGAGCCAGTCCTACAGCCAAAGGGTAAAAAATTTTCTCCCCGGCATGCTGGTCTAGCTGCTTTTGTAATGTGTAATTCTGTGTGGTTTGGTGTATGCTAGGTCAGCTTTCCCCTCTACTTTGAGCTCTACAATGGGATATTCTATCCATAAACGTTCAGTTTGTCCCAGTATTAGCCAGGACTCCTCGTGCCCGCACATTTCTGCACCAGGCCTGACTCTTTCCAGATGGCGTTCCGCACCTTCATTGCTTTTCATTAATTCCCCTGGCAGTGCAGATTGTTGGGAGGGAATCTTACCTGATTTCTGAAGCCTCACCTCCCTTAGGAAGTGAGCAGAAGCATCTTCCCGCGGACAGAGTCCAGGGCCAGGAGTTGGACGACAGAGGGTTTTCTTCTCAGCTCTGCCACTGACCTGTACTGTATGGTCTTGGGCAAGTCACTTACCCTTTCTGTGTCAGTTTTCCTCTGCAGAATGTAGAACACCTTGTGCTCTGTAGGTGACGAGTGTGGTGTAGGTGCTAAGTAATGTTCTCTACTGACACATTTGGTTTCCATCGATGAAAGAGTAATGTGGCAACTGTCCAGTTTAGAATTAATCGACTCCGTTGTTGGTCTGAGTTTTCTTCTGCTTCAGAAGCATCTGCAGGTGGGGATCCCAGCGCGCCACGGGCAGGTATACCTCCGGGACTAGGCCACAGTGCCTCACGAAATCTTGACTGGCTGCTCCAAGTTCCCTCTTTTTGCTTTAAACCACAGCACCTAGCATCCCCAATGAGGTAAAGCCCTGTTGTGCCAGGTGCTGTACCCACACCCAGCAAGAGACAGTCCCTGCTCCAGAGATTACAGTCTAAGTAGGCAATGCAGGCACACAAGGTCAGAGGAAAGAAAGATTGTCCTCTCCGTGTTACAGGTGGGGAACTGAGGCATGGGGTGGTTGAGTGACTAGCCCAAGGTCACCCAGGCAGACTGTGGCAGAGCCAGGAACAACCCCCTCCAGCCCTTAGCTCATTCTTTTTTTTTTTTTTACAGTGTTACTGCTGTAATTTTTCAGAGAGTCCTGGATATCAAGCATGTCAAACTGTGTGGTAGTGGTGCTCTGCCTTTGCTGCCCTACTCTTGTGTTGTCTTTGCATTTCTCTCTCGGTCCATCCTTCCCCCTCTCTCCAGCTTTTCATATGAGTTCGGATTTAATTTTTTTTTAGTGCTGGAATTAAATCCAGCACCATCTGCAGAACTCACTAGGTTCCTTATTTGCATTAGATTAGCATATTTTTGCTGAGGAATGATCAGACCTCTGAATGGCTGACTCTGCTAATCCACATCTGAATAAGGCCAGGGATAATTCCACTCCCCTAATTATCCCTTGGTAATCTTCTTAGTTAGTATCAGGCTCTGCTCTTGGCAGGCTAATTGCATTGCTGGATAATGAGATTTGTGTTACACGGGGCTATATCACTTCTCCTGGCAGAAGGATGGGGAGGTGCACTGAAGCATGCAGCAAGACTAGTGAGGAAATCATGGCCTTCCAGGAGGAGATGCTTTAGAAAGTGTTGCCAGTTTATGGAGTCGGAACGGAGGCTGGATCTAAACGACCTACCCTGCTATCGCTGCCTTCTAAAGGCAGGGTTGCCTGAGGACCCGAAGCACACTGTTGTCAGCAGGCGTCAGTGCTTTTGCCGAGGCTGCTGAATTCTTGTGCCAGGCAGGACTGGGGGAGCTAAGTGCAATTCCTTTGTTCAAAAACACTTAAAAACCTTAATTTTCTCCAGCTGCTTGTAGTGTGAGGGGGAAGGAAAATAGTATGAACCTTGCTGATGCCGTTGGAGCCGAAGTCTGCGGGCACATAAATTATTAACCCCCGTCTAACCCCGATGCTTTGTCCAGGGCTGTCTAAATGTGAAATCACATCAGGCTTTTTCTTGTTCACTTCCCATCTGCTGTAGGAGAATCCCAATTTATGGGGGGAAAGTTTAAGTTCAGCTTCCTTTGAATCACACCCTTTCAAACGAAGGTTGCGATAAATTTTGAATTTGATAATTATAACAAGGGGCCAGGCCTTCTCACCTGCAGGGGAAGGACTCCCACATCAGAATAACACTTTATACACACAGACTGGGAGGGGTGCCACAAGACATACTCTGCTGAAGGGGAGATTTTCATGGAAGAGAGGGAGGTAACTTCAGGAACCGGGGACTCTGCAAATTGAAACTGTACAAGTTTCACCCAGAATCCCTGATGGGGGCAGTTGGTGTGTGACTGGCCTAGTGTTCACTAGTATGTGCTTTCTGAGAGATCACTTTCCCCAACTTTGTCACTAGTTTTAAAAGGAACCATAATGTTCATGCAATGTGATAATCGTGCGAAGGGAATCAGTCCACACCGCTGGTGTGGCAAGCTCCCCAACAATGCTTCTCCATGAAATCTCCATGCTGCTTTGGAGGGATCCCCTCTGCCAATCAATGGGCAGGCCATTCCTCAGGCCTCTTCAGACCAGCTAGGAACTAGCTAGAGCCCAACAGTTCATTGCACTCACTGAGCAGCCATTAAATGGGAACTTTTGGTCCCTGCCAGCCTAAGCTGGAGGTTAACCAGCAGCATCAGCTTAAAAGCTCCATGTCCCATTTTCACACCCCTGTATACTTCCAGTGCCCTGAAGAGACTGTGTTCTGTGTCATGAGCATCCTAACAGGTGGGCAGAATAGCTGGATGCTAGGCACACACTCTCCCTGCCTACCTGCTCCTTTCAACTTCTTGTTAAACCCGTGCACACGTGGGGATTTTCTTGTTCATGGAACTAGCTGGTAGCTCAGTACTAAATGCACCGCTCCCCAAGCTGCAGCAATGGGTGAGGAAGGTTTGTCAGAGCTGGTTGTTTACTGTTCCACTGGTAGCCCCATTGCATGCGAAAGGCTGGGTCTCTCCCCAGTTTATAAAGTTTTCTACTTTCTCTCCTGCAAAACAGCAACACGTTACGAGTGACTCGCTCAGCTGCCCCCAGCACCTTGGACGGCTCAACCTCCAGCGGGACTGCTCAGCTGGGGAAGAAGGGCAAGGAGTTTGACTTCTCACAGCTGCCCATGAAGGTGGAGCTGGTGGAGTGCAGCGCCAGGGGCAGCAAGGCAGAGGAAGGCAGTGCTGACATCGAGGACTTGGAGAAATGGCTGGCCAGGATTGCCTGAAAGCAGCGGGGGAGGAGGGAGGCAGAAACTAGCAAAGAGGAAACTAATGATAAAGGCATTTGGCATCTGATACGGAAGTACTGATGGGAAGGAGTGGGGCCCAAAATGTAATCTTGCTATGGAAAGAACTTCAGGCATGCGCTGGCAGTAAATGCACTGTTACTTGCACTGGGCTGGGTTTTAATCAACCTATGAACATATTTGCCACTGTGATTTCTGCCAACTGCAGCCCTTCCTGTTTCTATCCCATGCTCCCCTTCTGGGAGGCTGCCTCTAGTGCTTGAGCTGTAGAGGGTTTAGAGTGGGGTTTTAGTTGGGGTAAGGAGCCTCTGGTTGTCCCAGGCAGCCTCCAAACAGATGGGAGGGTTATGTTTGGCTAGCAGAAATTATTTCAAGATTGGACTGTGCAGCCACTCCTGCTTTACCTTGGCATCTCGGCCCTGGTGCCCATGGTCGTTACTAACCTCCCTGCTCATGGCGTCTGATTTCTTCTTCCCATTCCTGTCCTCTGTGAATCGGGCACCGTGAGTTTGATCTTTGTGCTGCCACAGCTAAAATGTCCAATTGCGCATGCTACCGGGAAATCCCTGCCTGCTATGGAATGTACTAAAGCTGCTTTCACAAGGGTTGGCCAGCCTCCCCCTACTCCCCCCTTCCACCTCCCTTTCGAAAGGAACACACAGCCAGATTGTCAGATGTGCTTAGCACCCGTGTAAGCACCTATATGGAAGTGACCAGATTGTCAGACATGCATAGTAGGGGCTGGAGAGTGCTGAGCACTTCTCAAGATCTGGCCACTTCCGTGTGGGTGCCTAAGTTGGTGCTGAACTCTTGGAAAATCTGACCCAGATAGTAAAGGTGATTGATCATTGTGTAAATGGGGGCTGCTGTTCTGTTTGACTCCAGTCCAGTCTTTGGTGCTGATTTGCTTCTGCAGAACACACAGTGCTAAGGAAGCTTATGCATTCTTGTACATGACTTCTCAGGAGTGGTGTACAGTTTTATAATGTGATCTTCATAAATGCACAGAACAGTATTTGTAACAAAAATGGTTGGTCTAGGTTAAACTACTGGGAGGCCTGTATGCCTGGGTCTGAATATAACCCACTTCTCCTTCCCGGGGCTCCAGCCTGAGTGTTAGATTCACCTCTCTCCACGCAGACATGCCCCACTTTCGGCTCCATTTTTTCTTGAGACAGGACAGCAGCTTGCTGGTGTTCAGGTTGTGCTCTGGAGCCACCTGTGCCTTTAGCATCAGGAGTGCAGCACCCATACAGCGGGAACAGAAACCAGAGCAGTTGGAAGTGAACCTGACTAGCTAGATGGTGTCTCTCATATAGAGGCTTGGCTGCTTATTTTATGTGATGGTGCCCCTAATCTCCTGGTGAAATCCTGGCTCCTTTGAAGTCAGTGGGAGCTTTGCCATTGACTTCATTGGCCAGGAGTTCACCCTTGATCTTTAACTGGGGCGGGGTCTAGAGTTACAGCTGAATTTAGCAGACTCACACAACGAATATGTATTAAAACCCCATTCAGGTGCGTGTTTCGCCTGTTTTTTGTCTCCCGGTCTTTCAGTTAGGCCCTCCTCCTGCAAACGTGCACGAATGGGCTCACTCAGTTCAGCACATTAGTAAGAGGTTTGAAGAACAGAACCGTCCCCATGTGGGATCTGCATGCGCCTCTGACTCAGTGATGTCGTAAGCAGAGTTTGACATGAGAATTGTCCAAGAATGAATTGTGTTGTCACTTCAGTTGGACGAGGCTGTAAAAAGAGAGGTAGAGGTTGACTTTTAAAGGCGGTTTTTTTTTGTTTACAGATAAAGTCAGTGATTGTCATAGGAGCCAGGAATAGCTTCACAGAGGGCCTAAGAAGATCAGTTTACTGACATGAGTGGGAGCAGTCATTGCAGTTTAGGTGTTTCTGATGAAGGTTCTTGATGACAAGAGAAAGCATTGGAAGTTTCCCAGTTCTTGTTACATGTTTGTCTCGTGTAATCTTTAAAGCCAAGGGATCTGTTGTGGTTCCCAGATGCGGTGCCCTGTTGTGTTACACTTATTATGCTTAATTTTGCAAAGGAACAATTCTGTAGCAGTCTACTTCTTCCTGCAGATGTACTGAGCCCATTGGGGTCTAGTCCAGGACCTGTCGGAGTCTGACTTTAGCACATGTTGAATCAGGTCTAAGAGCTCTTTCCAAAGGTGGAAAGAATGAACTGACTGACTTTGGGAGAGATTCCACAAACAAGCCTGCAGGGTGTTAGCAGCAGAAGCTGGTGGGGGGTGATGGTGGCAAACTGTCGTTGGTTGCAATGCTGCTGTGTCTTAATGGGCTGGCTGAGGAGATAACACATCCTCTTGGTGACCTTTTCCAATGGTTTTCTTGACTCCCATTGGGGGCTCTGGCAGTGAGCATTGTCTGTGCCTCCAGCGGAGCTCACTGCAGGCTCAGCTGGGGGGAATCCTTTGTGATGCTGGATTGTTCATCTTGCCTCTGCTTCCTTAATAGGAACCTTCTCTGCAAAGAGGTGCTCACTGACCAGAGGCCTCCTGCTGCTAATAGGTTTGTGGTCTGCTGACGATTGCCTCCGTACTGTATCTGCTGAAGAAAGCAGCTGCTGGTACACAGGAAATGCCGTCCCTGGGTTTTTTTTGTGGCGGGATTTGGCATTATCTATAACCCAGCCACTCTCTTGGTCTAGAGGGTGGGAGGGAGGTGGTGGCTGGTCCTCTGCTTGGCTATGTTGGTAAGAATTCAGTATTTGAACTTTGCTCCTGGCAAATCTTGTTCCCTCCCCTACTTTCAGCCTGATGTTCTCTGTGGGCCCCTTCTTGCCATGTCAAGCAATACACCACAGCGTATCTTCTGTCAAAGGTTACATTCTGTATCCACATATTCTTCTCTCTGACGTCTGTACGCTCTGCTCTCCTTAGCACTAACGGGTGTATAAAGCTATACAGCAAGAACAGATTGACTTGTGCTACTCCCATCAATTGGAGAAAGGTGTTTTGTTTGCAAACAGCATCTTTTCTTGAAGCGAAGTGAATGTCTGAGCTGGGCTTTGCATCCAAAACTGCCGAACCTGTGGGACTAGATGAATCCTCTCTTAAAACTGTGTGACCAGCCCTGTTCATTGCAGCAGCAGTTGGGAGGATTAAATATACTGCTAACACTTGGTGTTAGTAGAGGAGTGAGGGGGTGGCATCGTGAACTGCCCCTCCTTTGCTTCCCCTCCCCACCCCCCCCAGCCCAGACACCTCCTACTCCTTCCCATGGCTCCCTCTTTGAGTTGGGAATGCTAAGACAGTACACTTTCCAACGCCTCTTTGGGAGATAGGTCCTTCCCAGGCTGCTCTGATTTAAAAACCTGTCCTTCGGCTGAGAGAGAAGCGAAGCTGGATGCTCAGGTCACAAGCCGAAGGACTCACTAGCCAAATGATTTTTGCGTTAAGTATGTTGTGCTCTTCAATTTCAAAGCATAAACTTTACAGCAACAGAATGTTGCTGGAGCTATTGGTCACCAGTCACATTTTGAATTTAGTTAGCCAGGGCAGTTGTCTGATCTGGTCAGTCTGTACCCGCAATGCTGAAGCAAGGAATGAAGAATTTATGCTTTTTTCCCCCCCTTTTGCTACCAGCAGCCTTCTTCTTGAGAAGCCCCAGCCTACAGGGGATGAGGACCCAGGATCCTGTGTTTGCTTTTAAATTATTCTCGGTAAATGTGGTTACTTAAATAAAGAAGTTTGGCTACATCTTGTCAGTGCTGGAAGCAGCCATCTGTTGCTGTCCTTTCCTGGCTTCTCTTTTCACCAGGCCCACCAACAGTGCTAAACCAGGCAGAATGGGGCAGCTCCGTATTAACGGGGCACTAAATAGCCCTTGAGCCAGGGATGTTTCTCTGAATGTTGGTTAGTGGAAGGGTTGTTGCCCTCATAACAAATTTCACACGGTTTGTTCTGGCTCAGCATTGTGAAACCAGGGCAAACCTGGCTTCTGTTGACTGAGCTTAATTCAGTAAGAAATCGACTTACACTAAATCATTAAGTGAGGCTTAAATCAAATTCAGTGTGTGTCCACACAGGGGCTTGCACTGCTTAACTGGCATTATTAAACTGCTTTTGGTCACACCAGTTTAACTTCCCTATAGATGTGGCCTCACCTGTGTCTCTGAGCCCTGGAGTGTTAGCAGCGGTCTTACAGCTACATCTGTGCGGTGACACATCCCAGCCCCGTGACTTTGTTCCACTCAGCCAGCTGAGCCAGCACAGGGTGGGAACCTACTGTTGCTGCTCAGTTTCCTGTTGTGTCCTGCAGAGACACACCTGCCTGGCTCCTGCCGGCCTGGGACTAGAGACGTTTCTTAGCTTGGTGCCCTCCATCGGCCCTTCCACCTATAAGGCTGGTGTGCCACTTCGTGGTCACAGGCAGGAGGGACTGGAGGGGTGCTGCTTCAGTAAAAATAAGCAAGCTCCTGCCCTCCTCTCCCCAACTGCAGCCCCACTTTGGCTCCCTTCAAATCAGCTGCCCTTAGTGCACATTTAAGGCAAACCCCTGGGCATCCTAAGGTTGGGACTCTGGTTTCCATCAATGCAGCCGTACCTCCATCAGTGGCCTGCTTAACTAGAGCAGGGGCTATGGCAGACTTCTGCTATGGCTGCTAATTGGTCTCTTCCTCCTCCACAGTGCAGCACTTTGCTAAGTCTGTGGTGCAGCGAGGAGCTGGTTCTGGAAGGGGGAAGGCCCAGCAGCCAGGCAGTGGTTTAACATCATCATCTCTTCCCCTGCATCAGGCTGAAGAAAGCCCTTCTTTGCCCAGGGGTGAGGTATGGAGAGAGTCTTCTCTGCCCTGCCAGGAATAAAGGGGCATAGAGTGTATCAGTAATGACCCTCGCCATAGGCCATCAGCCAGGCTACAACCTGCAGCTCCCAAAAGCAAGTCTCTGCTGTCGGCAGTAGTAGGCTATTAGCCTCTATGTGAACTAGCCACTTGAGGGGAACGCTGCAGACTCAACTAGCGGGTTACCCCTCCTCTGTACTAGAAGCCAGGAAGTGCTATAAGAGACAATGGAAAGTCCCGTCCCCTGACTAGCCAGCAGATGAGATTCAGGGAATGGAGACCATGGCTTGTCATTTTCCCTATGCAGTCATTATCTTAATGCCTTTCCCAAGCCCCACCCAGCTGTTGGGAGAAAAGGGCACTGCACTCGCTTTGTCCCTGTCGAGCTGGCTGGAAGAGGTGGTTTCAAATCATGACTGCTTTCAGGAGATGGACACGAGGGGCTCAGGGTGTCCTGGGAATTTATTCTGCTGGCCCTTGGGCAACCCACCTAGCTGAGCAGCAGATAGGGTGAAGAGGAAAAGAAACGCCACAACTTTCCATTCTGTTTTTAATAACCAGGCTAATTGCTTGGATTAAGCGACTGTCCATGAAGCGTGTATCTTAGGGAGGAGCGCAGTGTGTGCAGAACTCTGCTACGGCCAGGAGGAGGGCAAAAGCCCTGATGATGCTTGCAGCATGTAGGTCCTAGCCAAGCTGTGATGGGGAGGATGCATCAGCCCTAATGTGTCTTTCCGTCCTACTGACACTATCCATGAGTGCTGCTATCAGAGAGGAGCCATTTTCATTTGGTCTTCGACATATGGGTTTTCACATGGGGAGAGCTGTGATGTGTAGGAGAGCTCTACCGTGGTGTGAAAGGGCTTTGATCAGGGTTCCCACGCGATGGTACGTCAGCTTGTTGGAGGTAGTATGCTGTAGCAGGGGTCTGTCCCCTATAAGGGGTAATGGGCTGGAGCAGCCAACCCCTGTTCTGTGCCACGACTCCTTTAAGGGAGAAGAAGACTAGCTGGGGAATAGGGCCAGGCTTTGTTCGGGGAGCCTACATGCTTAACCTGATAACACACAGCTGCTAGGTGACTCCCCGGAGAGAGGGCAGACACGGCCTCAGCAGGGGAATTACGGGAGAGCTTGGAGACAGGACGGGGTTCCCTGGGATGGGAGCCGGAAGGGGGACCGGGGAAGCCTGGCTTAATCAGGTTAGTCTTAACAGGGAGGCCAGGAACCAAGGGGAAAGTGCGAGTCCAAGGACCGAGAGCAGCTCTGCAGACCAGGGCTAGAACCCAGCAACCAGTGTCTGGGGAAGCCTGTTTGAATCACAGTCTAGCCCTGAGCTTCCTCACCCAAGGGGAAGGAGTTGTGAGTCCAGGGCAGGAGGGGACCTGTGGGAAAGACACTCCAGAGGAGCCGGGACTGGCAGTGCATCCTGCTGCAGAGGGAAGGAGGCGAACTGGAACCCTGAAGCCTTAGAGCAAAGGGGAATTGGTGGGAAGTGGGGGCTTTACCTGGATATTAGCTCCAAGATTCTCCCACCTCTTTACCCCTCCCCTGTGAGCCCTCGCTGCCCTTCTACATGCACACGGGCACATACGGCACCAGAACATCTGAGCGCTTTTATTTACACACACACACACACACACACACAGTTACCAGAACACCCGAGCCCTCTTACACACACACATCTTGGCCGGACTGCCCTTTAACACGCACTGACATGCCCCACCAGAGCACCCCCTGCTCTCTTGCCCGAGCCCCTGCTCTCAGTCTAGCCTCATTGGAGTTGGACAGGAAACAGCTGTCCGGTGTCTCAGAACTTTGTGTGACTTGGAACGCTTTCCTGTTCTGCACCAGGGTGAACATGAGACGTTGTAGTTTGCTGTGACAAGCCAGAGAGATGCCTCCAGTCCAGACCAGCCAATAGCCTGCTGCGCGGGGCGCTCACCTGGGATGTGGGAGGCCTAATTCTGAATCAGGCAGACCAGGGACTTGACTGGTCTCCCCCATCCTACGTAAGTGCCCTACCTACCAGGCTATTCCAGGGCAGGTCTCCCCCTCTCTCTGGGTTTGATCAGTAATTCCACCATGGACCCCAGGAAAGTTTATTGAAACTGGCTCATTCCCATGAAAAGTTTTGGTTTTGACAAATGGGCATTTGCTGATGGAAAAACCATTATGTTGCAAAATTCCCAACCAGCTTGTAGTAGGAAGAGAGCCTAAGACATAAGCCCTTGCATCAGAGGCCTGGGCTAAAGTAGTAGTCAAAGCTTTACTAATATAAAGCAAAAACAAGCTGTGAGCAAAAGGCAGGACCTGCTCACAAAATCTGGCAAAAACAGGGCTAATATTGCAAAAATACCCATTCCTAAGAAGTGCTAGGCACAGAGTACTCATGCAAACACATCCCAGTATTATGGGTGGCGCATTGTATGGGCCCGTGTTGCCCGTGCTCCAGGAATATTCAGAGCATGGGGGCCCAGCTCCACCAATGTTCGGGACTGGGTCTCTCCCCTGGCCCTGCCTGCTGCCCCTGGAAGCGGCCAGCACTTCCCTGTGGCCCCTGGGTGGGGAGGGGTGTCTCTGCACGCTGCCCCCGCCCCGAGTGCCAACTCTGCCATTGACACTGCTGCCAAAGGGAGCTGCGGAGGCGGTGCCTGCAGGCAGCAGCGCATGGAGACCCCGAGTCCTCCCACCTAGGAGCTGCTGCCAGAGGGGTGTGTGGGTTGCTTTCGGGAGTCACCCAAGGTAAGCGCTGCACTCCTCACCCCCTCCCACACCCCAACCCCCTGCCCCAGCCCAGAGCCTGCACCCCTCACCCAAACTTCCTCCCAGAGCTCAACCTCTCACCCCTCCTGCACCCAAACTCCCTCCCAGAGCCAGCACCCCTCACCCCCTCCCAGAACCTGAACCCCTCCTGCACCCAAACTCCTTCCCAGAGCCTGTACCCCTCACCCCCTCCTGCACTCAAACTCCCTCCCAGAACCTGAACCCCTCCTGCATCCAAACTCCTTCCCAGAGCCTGCACCCCAAACTCCCTTCCAGAGCCTGCACCCCCTCCTGCACTCCAGCCCCAGCCCCGAGCCTGCACCCAGCACCCAAACTCCCTCCCAGAGCCTTAGGCAGGTGTGTGTGTTTGGGGGGGGGGGGATTTGGACCTGTTCTGGGCACCACCAAAAATTATACAATCCTGCTGCCCCTGCCCAATATCAAGTGGTACCAAAATATCCCAATATCTAGGATGATACAAAAACATTTCCCAAGGATAACAGGACCACACTGACCTCTCCTAAAAGATAAGGTCAGGATAACAGTATGTAATAGAGATGTTTTAATCAAACCAACATGTACAAGGTGATGGGTAATAACTAGCCACATCGGGGGCAGTAACTAACTGTGTCAAAGGTGCAGTACATACATTTTTATACCCCAATACAAACAAGTTATCTCAGAGGAACTGTCTTTGTCTAGCCTAGGGAGGAATGGAATGTCCTGCCGTTCACTGAGCTGATCCATTGTTACGGGCATACATGTATTAGAGATCCAGTAGAGTCTGTGGGATACTAGTACCATGCTTTGTTGACAGTAAACCTGGCCTGGTGCCTTCAGACCTTGACAGATCTTATGGTCATTGGGCAGTTTGCTCGAAGTCTGCTCTGCTGGCTGTCTGCACAGAGCAGGGGCAGCACACAGGAAGAACATAAAACACACACACACACACACACACAGGGCCGGCTCTGGCTTTTTGGCCGCCCCAAGTAAAAAAAAAAAAAAAATGGGGCGGCCAGAACGTCACGGCAAATAAACCCCAGTGATCTGTGCACCGGAGCGCGGGTGCAGGGGGACCGGCGAGGGGGGGGGGGAGGGAGGGAGCGGGCGGGAGAGAGAGAGAAGGGGGGCGACCAGGGCTACAGCGGGGTG